ATATATATATATATATATATATATATATATATATATATATATATATATATATATATATGTATTTTGGTTTTAATTTGATTTTAGGTCGCAGAAGAAGAAGATATAGAATTAGATAAAGAACATCAAAAAAATATTTTTCCTGGCTTTCTCGATGAAAACTATATATATCTAGATAATGTTAACTTAACTTTAAAACAAGACAATGAAATTAAGATTTTGGTTAAAAGGCTGCTAAAGGAAAAGTTAGGTGTCTATGCTTTCCTTGTAACACGGTTTTTAGAAAAGAAGTCAAGATATAACACAATGTCAATAAAAAACACAGCTATGGCTAGTATAAGGTAATTATATTGACTTTAGTTTTGTTGAGCAGCAACATGAGTTAATAGAAATAAATATAAACCATTCTTATTTTATAGGTTTGGGACTTCACCTGCCGCAACTGCAGCAATTGCTACAAGTTATCTTCAAGATTTAATTGAAGCAGGATTTCTCACCCCTGAGTCCTCTTACCTTGCTTGTGATCCTTCTAAGTTGACGAGAGAGAGAAAAAAGGTGATGGTAGTTGCGAAAAAAAATGATAATTTAAAACTTCTGAAAGCAGATAATATTGCCATTTTCTTTGACGGAAGGAAAGATTCAACAAGAGCAATGATAAATGATTCAAATGGACAGCTACATCCTATTATTATCAAAGAGCAGCACATTACTGTGACTATAGAACCTGGTGGTCGATATCTTGGCCATTTTACCCCAAATGCACCTAATCATCTAGATAAGCCAGCTAAAAAGATTGCTGAAGGTGTTTATAATTTGCTGCAACAATATAATCTTATGAGTCATGTTTAGTACTTGGAGCTGACAGTACTTCAATTAACACAGGCTGGAAAGGTGGTGCTATAACGCATCTTGAAAAGCTGTTAGGTCACAAGTGCCACTGGGCTATATGCATGCTTCATTCGAATGAATTATTTTTGCGTCACCTTATAGAAGGCATTGATGGACCAACATCATGTAGTACTGGATTTGTAGGTCCTGTGGGAAAATTTCTTCCTGATGTTAATAAAATGGAGTATAATCCTCAATTTAAAGCTCTTCCAAATGGAGAGAGCTTTGTCGACATTCCAGAAACAATATTAAAAAATATTTCAACAGATCAGAAACAATGTTACAAGCTATGTAAAGCAGTTAAGATTGGTTTATTGCCACCTAATCTTAGAGAAATTCAATGTGGCCCCTTAAGTCATGCCAGATGGCTCACTACTGGCACGAGAATAGTCTTTATGTGGACAAGGAAACACAACTTAAATGATCAAAATTCGCAAAATCTAGAAATACTTGTAATATTTTGTTTACAATTTTACTTTAAACTTTTTTTTGACATAAAGGTCAAAAACAGACTTGAAGATGCTTCTTATCACATTCTGTCTCAATTGAGAATTCTTAGAATGCAACCTGATAGAGTAAAAGAAATTGTGTTTCCCTACATCCAGTTAGGGGCTTGGTATGCGAACCATGAAAGTATACTAATCTCTTTATTATCTAGTAATAATGCAGAAGATCGCAATTTTGCAGTTAATCAAATTTTGAAACTAAGGGGTAATGATATCCTTGGAGATATGCGAATCAGACCAAGAAAAACACCTAAACTTAACTTTGCAGCAACTACTCTTCAAGAGCTAGTTAAATGGGAAAATGTTGTTGTAGAAGAACCTGTTTTTACTTGTTCGCTCACCAGAGATAAGTTGTTATTACTTAGATTGATACCTTTAATAACTCCTTCGATTAAAATTCATACTCAAAGTACTGAACGTGCTGTAAAACAAGTGACAGTAGCATCCATGTCAGTAGTTGGACCATATGCAAGAGATGGTTATATTAGAGCTAGAGCTCAGCATAGAGAGTTGCTACCTGTTTTTAAAACAAAGAAAGAAATTTTATTAAATTTTTAACTTCAATAGATTTTTATTTTATTTGTTTTTTAATAGTGTTTTAGTAGTTCTATCAAAATATTATTGGGGTAAGATAGGGGGATAAACCACCTATTTTTTGGTGAAAGTATAAAGAACTGTTATGATCAAATTTTTTAATCATTAGAACCTCATAAAAAATTGAATACCCCCTCCTCCTCCCTCTAAAAAATGCAGAATCTGCACTGCAGATAGAATCCATGCAAGATAATGATTTTAAAAAGTATCTAAAAAACTTTCAATAATCTTAAAATATTATTTGCATTTAATATTTTATCGCAATGAAAATGAAAATATAAAATACAATGAAGGACATGATTTTACTAATTTTTGCTATTTCTAAAAGTCCATATTTGGGTATCAAAACTTTTTCCGATCAAAATTTTTTTTTAAGAAACCCTCTTAAAAATTTGATTTTACATAAAAGTACACCTTTTCCTAAGCTTTTAGAAAAAAAAAAAAAAATTCGCTGTACCCTAATCTACAATTGTAGGATTGTCAGCATTAGAAAAATTTAAATAAGCACTTTTAAATTTTTTTGAGAAATGACACATTTTAATTGTATTCAAATGCACATTTTTACACGTGATGTAATATTGAGTTAGATTTCAAGTCTTTTTTTAAAATTCTGCATACTATTTTTTGTTTGATTGTGCGATAACAAAATTTTCACTACAATAAAATTATAGTTGCTGTAAGTATCGTAATTTTAACTAACTTTTAGGACAAGTCTAAAAACTAATAAATAATTTAAAAGCTAGATAAAATAATCGCGTTTTCCATGAACTTCTAAAATTAAAAAATAGAAAAAGAAAAAATTAAAAAATTAGTAAATTTTTTTGGTTTAAAAGTGGAATTGAATAGGGATTGTCCATAAATTATGCAACGCTAAATTTCACTAATAAACAAAACATAAGAAGTCAAAAGTTTTTTCTAAAAGTTTTGTCATGTAAAAGAGTTAAATATTATCTACTTCTTTTTTTAAAATAAACTTTGCATTGCAAAATATATAGACAATCCCTAATTGAATGTTTAAATACTTGTGCAAACTGCTTTGAAAAAGATATGAAATATATTACAAGAATAACAACATTTATCTTATTCATCAGGTTTTGAAAGTTACTCTTGAAATTATATAAATAAAGAAAAAAAAAAAGTTGCTTTAACATTCGAAACTTAGCTGAGATGCACATTTGTTTGAAATTAATTCAGCGGTCAGGAAGATATTTGAGAAACTTAAGTTTTAAACTAACTTTAATAGATAGTTTTTTTTTTTAACTTGCCATATAAATTGACTTCAGTAACATTTAAACTAAACTATTGTAAATATGGTAAAAGTATTTAATGTCTTTTAATTGTAAAAAAGGCATCATTATCTTTTAAAGAAACAAAAGATAATAATGTTGGAGTATGATTAAAAGTCAGATATATTACTTAAATACACATAATAATACAAGATTGTCAGATATATTACTTAAATACACATAATAATACTTAAATACACATAATAATACATCTTTTTGTCAGATATAATACTTAATAATACATCTTTTTGTCAGATATATTACTTAAATACACAAAATAATACTTAAATACACATAATAATACATCTTTTTTTTTTTTTTTCTTTAAAACAGCCATCTCTAGATTAAATTTTGTCTTGAGTAAAAAGGACAAAATCTAATATAGATATAATCTTTATGAATAAAATTTTTTAGTATTGAAAACAAATACTAAACAATCATATACTTAAGAAATAAAAATTATAACTTTTATGCCAACTTAAAAGTGACTTAAACCACTCTATTATTTACAATATTATTATAAGCATATGGTATATTATTAGCAACATTATTATAAGCATATAGAATATTATTAATAATTTTATCATAAGCATATAGTATATTATTAATAACATTATTATAAGCTGGTTAAATTTGTAATGTTTTAGGTGAAATTTTAAGTAGAAGTTTACTTACACAACTTAGATTCTAGCTATCTAGTATCAGAGTGGTTTAAATAAACTTTTACTCAATTGTTGAGTAGAAATCGATATAAATCACTTTGATTCAAGCCAGCTTATTCCCTTTAGGTATATCACAAATTGATTTGTAAAGTTGGATAAACTTCAAAATTGATTGTACTCAAAAATATATATACACTTTTAAGTTAATTGCTTATTTTGTATAAATTTTGTAAACAAAAATTAAATAAAAGAATTTTAAAACTTTAAACATATGTGTAATTGTATAGGCTACTGATATATATTAGATTTTCATAAATTTACTCCCTAAAAATACAATTTTGTTTTAATATCAATATTTTACTTCACTCACCAAACAAATTTTTGTCTGCCCAACGAAAATTATTTTGAGCCAGCTGACGACATAACAACTTCAAATTATTCAAGTTACAAAACCAAACACGGAGTTGCGAACAAAAAAGTTGCAATAACGAACAAGAGATGCTTTACCGAACAAGTGCGTTGCGATACAGAACATTTTAGTTGCATTACCGCACATCCATATGATGATGATGATGATGATCATCATCATCATCATCATCATCATCATCATCATCATCATCATCATCATTGTCATCATCATGTTCATTATTAATTGCTATCATTATCAATATAATTTATTTTTTTACTTTTAAAAACTTTTTGTTTAGTAGAGCATATCCAAAGTTAATTTTGTTAAAAATTAATTGTCAAAAATCCAAAGTTAATTGTCAAAAAATTAAAATATCTTAAAAATGACTAAAGTGGTATCCAACCTCATAGGCAGAAATGCAGAATGCAAAAAAAACTTTTTATACTAGGTACTTGCCCAGTATATGCACATAAAACATCATTGATGATTTCATTTTAAAAAAGGGTAGGCAGAGCTTTATTGATACACTGACTGAGCGTTAAGCTTTTAGCTGCCAGTATCCACATATGAAATCAACATTTAGGTTTTATGTGTATCAGAGTATCCAGTATACATCTATAAACTATATTAACTAAATTATAACAAAATATTATTTAAGGTTTACAGGATGAACAAAACTGCAGCAGGTATAGCAAGAAAGGCAGCTAATGATGTTTTCAGTACTACAGGTTAACTTTTCATGTGCTATTTTCTCATTTAAGATTTTTTTTTGCACCATAATTTATTTGTGATTGTTATTATTATTAAATTTGTAATAGATTCATTATTGTTATTAAATTCATAATTAAATTATTATTAGGTTCAAATAAAAAACCATTTAAACTAAAATTTTAAAAAAGCAAATACATAAAAAAAAAAAATACTTGACTGTAAAAAATAAAATGCTATTTTTAATTATTAGACTGTAAAGCATATTTACTGATTTAACAAATTGTTTTAAAATTCAGTGGTCAAATGAATCATTTTGAATTTCCAGAACAGAGCTAAACAATAGCTTGTGTCATATTGTAACAAAAGTATAAATCTAGGAACACTTTACTTTGCATCTTTTGTCATTTACCTCAAATAGATCATGTTTAAAGTTTCAGCCCATAAGGTCATGTGTTACATTGCAAAAAAGTATTAAAGGTTTATTAGCCTGGAAAAAATATTTGTTTTTTTTTGCTAATAAATGTTTTTTTTGCTAATAAATATTTAAATTATGACAATTAAAAGAGTTACACATTTTCTCCAATTTAAAACTTTTTTTGTTGAATTTTCTCAGATTTTTTATTTTTTTTCCAGATTTTTTCATTGCAACTACCTTTTTTTTGGTAACATTAGCTGGTATTGTTTTTGGTCTTCAAATTAACTTGCAAAGAAATCTTGAATAAAGAGATTATTTTTCTTGGCGCTGTCATTTGTTGCTTAAATGTTTTTTATGAACTAGACGAACTTTCTCAGCTTCTTAATCTATTGATTAACATCTACCGCAGGAAACACCAACAATGTCGAAAAAGAATTCAGCTTTCCAAACCAAAAAAGTTAGGAAGTGTCAAATTACTGTCCAAATTAAAAATTTTTGTGGGAGAATAGCATCTAAATATCATAAGATTGATGAGCATATTTTTAATCATTTCTACCTTTGTAAAATCAGGCAGATCTTTACCTGCTAATGCAAGAACAACTATTTGTTCATCTAAATGTTAAATTTAAACTTTTTATTAGAGCGTTTCTAAAATTTTAATACTTCCTAGATCAAATAAATTTCTCCAGCTTATAAGAATCTTTTAACGCGGACAAGTTGCATCTTGGAGCAAAGGCTACTATTCTATTTTTTAGGAACCATGGACATGCATAATAGTTATAAAAAAGTCAATTGGTAAACATTTCCTCCTTGTCCACTGTTAATATCTTGTGTTAAACTTTAATCACCTGAATTGGTAAAATATATTTTGTATCAGCCATATATTTTGCATCATTGCACCAGGCTTCAGGAATCTAAAGTTCTAAATAACTTTGCCAAGAAAGAATTCGCTTTGCTTGTTTGCAAGGAAGAATTGCTTTGCTTGACTTAATCATATCTAGTAAAAGTTTTATTAAAAAGTAAAAGTCAAGTAGGTTTAGTCTTCTTTGGCTTTTGCATAAAATATGAATCAGTAGCTATAATGCTTCAATCAAAAATAGATACATCATCAAGCTTATTTACCTCATTAAACATCTCTGCCCAGACCTTTTTAAATTTAATTTAAAGTGATTTTTGTGAACCTCTAGTACCTTCAAACAAAACTTCTCAGAAATGTGAAATGTGGACTTTTTTTTTTTCAAAATGAACGCATTACTTCAGCAATTTTTTTTTCAAATAATTAAGCGATTGATAGTTTTTTATTTTTTATAAGAAACACATAATTGCAATAAAAAACAATTAATTACAAAAATTTTAAACACATTTTCAAAGACTTTTAAAAAAACCATGCTAAAAATACTTTCTTCAATGGGGCAAAGAAAGTAATTATGTTCGAGCATGGTTTTTGCATGCGTTTACAAAAGCATTCAAAATTTTATTTATAATTACTGCATTTGCAATTACTTTAAAATAAAACCATGCTTAAACTAAACTAATTGTTTTCTTCAATAGCGTGCTTTCTTTTTTTCTTATTTTCCTCAAAGTGAAGTAATGTTTGTTTGCATATTAAAAAAACTTTTCAAAGTTTTAATAGTAATTTTAAAGTTTTTGTAAAAAATATCTAACAGAATTATTATGTTTGTTATAGTTTTTAAGTTTTTATTGTGCATTTAACAGCACCAATAATATTATATTTTTATTATTAGCGTAATAAATATTTAATATATTATTATTTTTTAATTTTTTTAAAAAACATCAAAACAACTAAGCATCTTTTTAATGTTAAAGTAAGATGGTACAGTGGAGTGTATCATTTTAAGTAAGATGGTACGGTGGAGTGTATCATTAAATGCAAAGGAGAAGAAGAGAAAGAAATTAAGCACATGAAAAAAAAGTGCAAAGACTTGGATCGTGCTATGACTTTGGGAAAATTGGATATATGGCCAAAAGATATTGAATTTATGTTTTTGAACACCATAAATGGAGAATAACCAAGAAGAACTGAACAGACTTTTTCGGATATCCTATTTGGTTGTTAAAGAGAATCTTACATTTAAATTTCCTCAGCTGTGCGAGCTACAAAAGCTAAAATGGAATTAAGTTAAGAACTACTTTAGTGACAAAGCTTGCAAAAACTTTGTTTCGTCAATTTTGTCTGACTTAAAACACTAGTCATTTAGACTTGTTTAAATGCGTTTAGACATCAAATGCTCATTTTGTTGCAATTTTATCTGACGGTTCTAATGATAATTAGTGAATACTACTGAGTATTAGTGAACAAGAAACAGTTTTTTAAGATTAGTTAAAAATAGTAATTCAATAACTTTATTTGCTGGTATTAACTCACCACTGACAGTTGATGCCGATGGTATATTAAATACAATAAAATTTGATTTAAAAAGTTAACAACAGACAAAATGAATCAAAATTTATATTTAAACAATATCTATGCAAAACTGTAAATGTTAAATTTGATGGTGCATCTGTAATTTCTGGCAATAAAGCTAGTGTTCAAACAAAATTGCGAAATAAAACCCCCAGTATAGTATGTAACCATTGCGTTGCGCATAGATAAGAACTTTCTATGTTAGACTCAATAAAGTTTGATATTTATTTAAAGAAATTTGATGATAACATTAAAAGTTTGTTTCATTTTTACTATTATTCGTTACAACTAAGAAAAAAACTTAAAGAAATAGCTTCTTTTTTAGATAAAGAGTTTAAACAGCTTGGGAGATTAAAAAATATTTGTTGGTTAGCTAGCCAGGAAAGAGCGTTAAGATTGCTTAAAACTGACTATTAAAGTTATTATTTATGATTTAGAAAGGATTTTTGTGTTTTATAAAAAACCCACTTTTTTTGTTTTATTTACATTTTATTCAAGATATTGTTAAATCTTTAACAAAATTGTCATTGGATTTGCAAAAAGAAGAAATTTTAATTTGTGAGATTTCGCGCAAAGTTGATCAAAGAATTGCTGTACTAGATACGTTATCAGTTAATCCAGGCTCGAATATTGGAGATTTATTAGATAATTTAGAAGTAAAAGAAGATCAGTTAATCCACAAAGGTTTAACAGCATTAAAAAAAGTAATTTAAAGTTTGTTAGACAACAACCAAATGATTATTTTGATTGTTATAATAAAAAATATTTTTTTAAAATTATTAACAAAGCAAAAGAGTATATAGACAAACAATTCTGCTGCGATTTTAAAACCATTAAAATCTTTAACCACAATCTTTGATTGTCGAAACTGGCCAAAATCCTTTACAGGTTCAAAAGAAACAAAAAAATGCGGGTTTAATGAAATAAATATAAATATCTTTGATATATCCAATAACTTATTAACTAGAATAAAATTTTTTTTGAAAATAAAACTCCCTTATTTGACATGTCTCTCTTAAATTAGCTGCTTGTCAATAATTAAAGATACGAACATCAACATCCATATAAAAAAACAATTTGTCATGCCCCCATATATATATTTATATATATTCATATACATATAAATATATATTTATATATATTTATATATATTTATATATATAAATATATATATATATATATATATATATATATATATATATATATATATATATATATATATATATATATATATATATATATATATATATATGTTTGCAACTTTTATGAGCATAATAATATGATAAGCAGAGAATACAACTCATGTGAATTGCTCATAAGTTGTATTCTCTTTTTTTTCTTTATTCAGGGAGAGAAAGTCTCTAAACTAAGGACAAATTCACTGTTGAACATTTATAGAGATATCTTGCTGGAAAATGAACCTGAATTTGCAAATATCAATGTTTTGTTAGAAATTATGCTAACTTTCAGCGCATCAACAGCAAGTTGTGAACACAGTTTTTCCTGCATGAACTTACAAAAAAATATTTCTCGAACTTCATTAAATGACAACACTTCAGAAAATATTATGCATATAAAGTTAATTGAAGACTTTTTGCCCCAAAAGCATGTGAAAAATTGGATTGATGCAGCGGTTGGTATTACACATTTGGAAGGCCATAAATCAAAAAGTTCTAGCAATTCTTAAATCCTTTTATATAAATATAAAAGATAATATATAAATATTAATGTGACATCAGTTTTTGCAATTTATATTTCTTTAGTTCCTTTTATTTTAATTTCTTCACATTTATACGTGTATTTTATGAGTAAATAAATTTAACAAACTAAATTGAAAAAAATAAGTTTTGTATCATTACATTACAATCATTGCATATTATTAATTAATAATTCGCACACACTTTGCAAATGCGTGAAAAATTGTTTTAAAAATATGATAATTGATTAAATTCAATAAGCATCTTTGATATATCCAATAACTTATTAACTAGAATAAAAAATTTTTTGAAAATAAAACTCCCTTATTTGACATGTCTCTCTTAAATAGCCGCTCGTCAATAATTAAAGATACGAACATCAACATCCATATAAAAAAAACAATTTGTCGTGCCCTGATATATATATTTATATATATTTATATACATATAAATATATATAAATATATATTTATATATATAAATATATATATAAATATATATATATATGTATATATATATATATATATATATATATATATATATATATATATATATATATATATATATATATATATATATATATATATATATATGTATATATATATATATATATGTATATATATATATATATATATATATATATATATATATATATATATATATATATATATATATATATATTGCCTAGAGATGACCTAGAGGATGGTAGAGTCAATAATATTGGTAAGAGTTGCCTGAACATTTCACTTTGATTTTTTTAATTATGTGAACATCTAACACGTCTGATACACTTAATGTCAGTCTATCATTAATAACAGAGATTTTCTTCTGTTAGTTTAGTGTCTTAAGTTTAGTGTCAATATGCATCACTAATTTTTTACTTTTCAACTTATCTGTGATTTAATTTCTAATAAGATCACCCTTTTGTCTGATTTCAGATATAATTAGTTCCTGGCATACCTAAAGTAATAATATTTTGAGAGTTTAAATTTAATTTTTAGTTACATTAATCAAAGTTAAAGAGTTTGAAAATTTGCCTAGTTAAGTTTTCAAACGTAATATATTCTAAATATCAGATTGTTTCTAATTCTTAATGGGAAGCTCTTTATCTGGTAGATCATTGATAGAGTATTTCTGGAGATATGTTCTCCTTGGATTGGTAAAACAACAATTTTTCTTTCAGCTTTTTTTATTTTAGTCAATATATTTTTACTTATCTGCAAAAATAAAATTTGTCTATTTTTATTCAACTTAAAATTTGCAGTGAATTAGGCAGTAAAATAGAATTCTGCATTGATTAATTTTGTGATGCGTTCAGTGAAGAAACGCATGAGATATATCTTTCTGAGATATATCTCTAGCCATTTCTTTACTGAAAATATCTCTCTGAGATATATCTTTCTGAGATATATCTCCAGCCATTTCTTTTTCTGAAAATATCTCTCGGAGATATTTTATTCAGATGTTGTAAATGCTTTATAAATTTTATTCCAAAAAAGTAAAAAGAAATTTTTTATTATGATACAATTTAAAAAAATTTCTTGTTTTTCACATAAATTGTAAAAAAGCAACATTAACGTAATCCAGTTAGACTTGTCCTACAGTTCTAAAACTTTAAATATAGTCTTTTTGGATCAAATTGATTGGAGAGTATAGTGTTTTTTTTGTTTTTTTTTTGTTTTGACTCAGACTACTAAACAATTTTGCTGTTGTTTTTTGTTGTTGAATATTAATTTTGTCTCAATATGCACTTAAAAATATCAGTTAAATTTAACATAGATTTTTAATTACAGTTGTGTACACTGGACTTTTAGATGTTTGAGTTTACCTACACAAATTTTGCAAACTCCAAACTTTTGTATGTTTATGCTTATGTCAAATGAGAATGTTTTGTAAAAAATTGTGGTGATTGGAGCTTGGGGACAAAAAAACCCCAATTTTTGGGCCCACCCAGTCCTTAACGTGGGAGCAACAAGTTGATAAAATAATTTTTTTAATATTTTTATCTAAGTTTATAATCATCAACAAATTTCAAATTTCATCCAATAATTTCTTATTTTTCGAAAATTATGACCATATAAAGTTTTAACCCCCCTCAATTTGAGGGGGCTGTAAACTTTGTAGGGTCATAAAAACTAAAAACTAAGAGGTTATTGCATGAAATTTGAAATTCGTTGATGAATATAAACTTAGATAAAAATACTAAAGAAATTATTTTATCAACTTATTGCTCCCATGTTAAGGACTGGGTGGGCCTGAAATTTGGGGATTTTTTGTCCCCAAGCTCCAATTGCCACAATCTTTTGCAAAACATTCTCATTTGACATAAGTATGAACATACAAAAGTTTGAAGTTTGCAAAATGTGTGTAAGTGTCAAAACTCAAACATCTAAAAATCCAGTGTACACCACTGAATTTTTTATATAATTGATATGGTTTATATTATTTATACATTATTATAATTTATATTTTATTTATAACCAGCAAAATTTATTTAACAAGAATATCAGCAACAATTTATTAGTGTTGAGAATATTCTTAAGAGCATTTACATAATAAATCTTTAAATTAAACAGATTAAACCTGATTCATGTTATTAGTAAAGTTTACATTTCTTTAAGAGATTCATTAAAAAAAATAATTATGCATGCTTTTGAAAATAGGTATTAGATTATTTAAGTTTTGTGTTTGTTTTTGATTTATGTTCATGTCGGTTTGAATTTTATTTTAGTACTTGAGTGTGCTTTAATGTTTATTTGCCTATATTTTTGCTTTGCCAAGTTAAAGTATAAGAATTATAGCATTGTAGCATTTAGATGCGAGTCTGTGTTCATTTAGATGTGAGTCAGTGTTCATTTAGATGTGAGTCAGTGTTTATTTAGATGCGAGTCAATGTTTATTTAGATGCGAGTCAGTGTTCATTTAGATGTGAAATAGAATTGAAACGGAAATAGAATTGAATGTCATCACTAGAGCACCAGAAACAAAAATAAGATTAAAATTATGAGTAATTACTAAACAAAAGCTACTGAATATAAATAAACAAATTTAATATAATGATTTTTTTAAACAATTTTTGCATACTTTTTTTATTATTGGCGTAAATGTCTAACCAAAGATGCTCTCTGATTTGTTTGCCATGTTTTGCAATCACTTGTTAAGTCATCTTTCAATAAAAAGTTAAACTTGTGCACATTTAGCAAGAAATGTTGTAGCCGTACTCCAAGATGATAATGATTAAATAAGATTTTAATGAATTTTAGTTATTAACTATGTAATCATTCACCCATGTCATGTGTTTAAGTGTGTTGCCAGCATGTTATTTTGTATTTATAAGTATTTACTTATAATAGTTTTGAGAGGTTCAATTAACTATTTCAAATTTGGAATTTTTTTTTTATTTGAGAAGAAAGAAAAGAGGTTTAGATTTTTTTAATTTGTTAACAATTATCAGTTAATCAGTTAAATACAATATTAATGCATAAAATTTCTTGAGAATTTATTACTGTATGCATTGTTGTTGATTATAAGAACTAATTGAAAGCAATTGTAAAGTGTGATCAATATAATAAATGATAAATATAAAATTTATCTATTATCAAAATATAGATGACAGATAATATTTACTAAAACGATTTAAAAACTGAAAAAATTTTAACAGAAAAATGTTTAGAATGGCTTAAATTATTTAGGTAAATACAAGTATGTTGCTGGTGCCATTGGACCTACCAACAGAACACTGTCTATATCTCCATCTGTTGAAAATCCTGCTCATAGAAATATTAGTAAGTTTATAATCTAGTATAAATGATTTTTTTTTTTTTGCAATTTTTTATTGTTTCTGCTTTTTAATACATGGGGCTATTTATTAATTATGCCAATAATTTTTTAACAATTTTTACCTCCACCTTATACTATATTTCCACTTTATATTATATTTACCCTCCTTCACCTTAACAACAATTTGTCAAACTTCCAGAGACCTCCCCTATAAAATTTTGTCAATTTTCCATTACCCCTCCCCCACTACTTTCTTTCTAAAAATCAAGTTTAAATGGAAAAAAAAACATAACAAATTTTAAATAGACTAGTTTATCACTAAAACAAAGTAAAATGTTTAGAAAAAAAAACTATTCAAATTTTAAAACCATTTTATATTACAAATGCTTGCTCTGAACAAAAGGCAAATAAAAGTAAAAGGTATAGAAAAAAAAATTTCAGTTGTTTAAGCCAGGGGTCAGCAACTTTTCGAGGTGGAAGAGCCAAAAGTTTATAATTTACAAATTTTTCAGTTTTAAAAGAGCTACCAACATCTTTATTTCACTATTATATTAATATTTGTGCATGGAGCCTAGGAGCCGTGCTTTAACATTGAAAATCACATTGAGAACCACATGAGACTCTCGAACCCCAGGTTGCCGACCCCTGATATAAATGTTTTAGTAATATTATAAAGACCATGTACTTGCATAACTCTTTTTTGTTTGCACAGCAGACTAACCAACAACTTTGAAAAAATAATAGTGTTACAAATAAACATCAATTTTTAGTTCTGTATGTGTTGGGTCTTTTTAAAGCACAAACCGATATTTAAAAAGTAGGAATATAAACAGCTTTGTTAAAAACACTGAAGTTTGAGTGACTATGTAACACAAGACTGCAAATGCTGCCTAATTTTCAAAAATTTTAAATCATAAATTTAAGTAATTAAGTTTATTAAAAAAGTAACATTGTTTACGCCAACTTGTCTTGACCTTCCCCCTTGTCAACAATTTTCAAAAAAATTTAGACCCCCTCCCCCTTATATATGTATATATATATATATATATATATATATATATATATATATATATATATATATATATATATATATGTATATATATATATATATATATATATATATATATATATATATATATGTATATATATATATATATATATATATATATATATATATATATATATATATATATATATATATATCAATGTCAATGTATAAAATGTATATGTTTATTTAACCATTCTGGACTGTATTGAATGATGTTTTAACATAAACACTGGTCTGAAACTGTAAGACTAAATATATATTTAAAAAAAATAATAAACTTTTATGCACATAAATAGATTACTTTATAATAGTTACCTAATATTTGGTGAAAAAAAGTATGTCCTTAAGTTTTTAGAAAGTAGATTTTAGTAATATAGCAAAATAAATAATAAAACAAATAAAAATAATACAAGTATATTTACTTTTATTTTGCATAGTTGGTTGATGGTATCATTTGTTTAAATGGTTTTAAACAAAAAAGAGTGCTTAGGAGTAAACATCAAAAACTTTAGTCTGCTGCTAATGTCTTTTATTTTTGAAATATATCTCTTTGTGACTATGGTATGACTATGGATAATACATTATACAGTGTATAAAAATTGTTACATTCTAATTCACTCCCAACAAGACTGTAAATAGCCACTATTAATGAGTGACTAGAAAGCAGAGAGTAGAGTTATCGAGCAAGGAAACAGTTGACAGAAAACCAGAAAAGATATAGGTTGTATGAGTTAGGAAAATGTGAAGATGGGAGAGAGTTTCAAAGGCTTGAAGTGCAGGGAATAAAACTAGACAAATCAAAGTTTTGTAGAGCATGCAGAGACAGGATTTGATTTTGCTGAATGACGAGTCAAGTGAGAATGAGTTTTGGTTGATGGAATTAGACATGATAACTCTTTGAGCATAATAGTTCTTTTGAGCAGCAACCATAATATTTTCCATTAAAGTTTAGTAGTAGTGATGTACTGATTAATCGGCATTGGCTTAATTGGCCACTTTTTTCACAATCGGAATCGGCATTGGCCTTTTTTACTGATTTTCCAACCAATGGCATTTTAATATTTTTATTCTGCATTATTATAATAATAAAATAATAAATAAACTAAACTTAGTGCATTACTTAAAATTTTTTGGATAAATTTTTATTTTGACTTTGTTTACAGGCAAAAGCTTTAAAAGTAACCTATTGTTATCTATTGCATTGTTATCTGCATTGTTATCTTGCATTGTTATCTATATTTTTTTTAATTCTTTTTTACTCCCAATAAGGCTTCAAGCAACCACTATCAAGTTGGGAGTTGCTAGAAAAAAAAGGTAGAGTTATAGAACAATGAAACGGTTGACAGAAGACTTCAAAAGTTGAGGTTGTATGTGTCAGGAAAACGATATGATGGAAAATAATGGGACAGTGTTCCAAAGGGTTAAAGTGCGTGGAAATAAGCTGGACAAATAAAAGTTTTTGGAGCATAAAGAGACAAATACAGTTGAAGAATGAGACTTTGATGAATGACAAATCAAGTGAGAATGAGTTTTGGTTGATGGAACTAAAGATGAAACCTCCTTTGAGCAGCAACCATGATAGTATTTGTAGAAAAGAGAAAGAGATGCAACTTTACGACAATGGGAAAGAGGCTCAAGCTTAGCAGATAGACTAGGTCCAACTCTGTTTTCAATGCATTTTTGGACCTTATCTTAAAGAGAAAGAGTATCATTAGAAGAACCAGCCTAAATATGATAACAGTATTCCATACAGGGATGAATAAGAGATTTGTAGAGGTAGGGAATGGAATCAGGAGAGAGAATAGGGTGAGCACGATAAAAAGAAGCAACCTTAGCAGATGCTAATTTAGCAATCGATTGTATATATGGTTGCCATAAAAAGCCAGTAGTACATGATAATCCAAGAAGACTCAAAAACCTTGCTAATAACAGAAAGAAGACTGATTGGACAATAATCGGAGGGGTCAGTATGTTTACCAGAGTTTTTAAAAATTAGAACAACAGATGCCATTTTCCAGCAGGCAGGAAAACAAGATTCAGTCAAGCACTTATTAAATAGTTTAGAGAAAATTGAAGAGAGTTTTAGAGAACAATTTTGTAAGACTGTAACAGGAATGTTGTTTGGACCACAAGCCATAGAAGTGTTTAATCGAGATATGACTATGAACAATGAAAGCTGAAATAATTTAAATGTCTAACAATGGTTAACCTGTTTAATTAGAATGAAAGAGAATGGCCATAAGATTCGAGTCAGATTAGAAGACAATTTCTTTGAAAACAGTTCAGCCTTATTTCACTATTTAAGTATAGCCAACTTTAAAACTCAGAAACACAAACCTTGATGAGCAATGCCGCTGCGTGTAGAAACAAGTTAAGCGCTGTACTACCAGGAACGTGGTGGGGATCGAACATCACAAAACAAAATAATTCTAAAAACAATTTATTTACCTAAAAATAATTTGTCTAAACAACAAATGATTGTTGTTTAAATATCTAAATTACTAATAAATTAATAACGAATTCTAAGTAAACTGCATATGATTATTTTCTTTTTTTAAAATTAAAATAAAAAGCATTCCTCTAAAATTGTATTTATTTTTTTGAAAGTTTTCTTTTCATAGTAGAAAAAAAATTAAAATGTATATTTTTTTAACTGAGTTTTTCTAATATCCTTTAAAATAATTGTTTGGCTTTGATTTGGGTCCAAGTATTTGTTTACCAATACTGAATTAAAGTTGTATTGTTTTATATTTTTAATAATTAGTAAATTCATTGGTATCGGCATCGGTATCGGCCTTTTCCCATCCATCGGTATCTGCATCGACTAAAAAAGTGATATCGGTACATCACTAGTCAGTAGTGAATAATAATCCATGATGATGTAGAGGACTCAGTGAGAGGGTTGCTATTCATTGAAATAGAAATGTTGACAGTATTATGATAGTTGTTTGCAGTAAATTAACAAAGTTTTGTTGGAGTTAAAATTCAGAAGCCACTGCGAACCCCAAGCTGTTATAGAACTGAGATCAGATTCAAGATTAGCTGCCTGTTCTGAGCGATTGAAAGGAGAAGATTTTTTATTATAAGTAAAAAGTTCCGCAAAAAGCTTTAATTTAGATAGAGATTTATTTTTTAATATATAAAGCGTTATTCAAGTTATAAAATATAATTTTTAAAAATTAGAACCACAAATATAATTTTCCAGCTGGCAGGAAAACCAGATTCAGTCAAGCACTTGTTAAATAGTTTAAAGAGAATTGAAGAGAGTTCATAAAATTCTAGAGAACACTTTTGTAAGACTGCGACCAAAATGTTGTTTGGACTACAAGCCATAGAAAAGTTTAATTGAGAAATGACTTTAGCAACAGAAGCTGGAGTCATTTAGATGTTTAACAATGGGTAACTGTTTAACTAAAATGGCAGGAAGTATTTTTAGCCATTTGATTCTATTAGAATTAGAGTAAAAAATTTTTGCAAATAGTTCTGCCTTATCTTTAAGGTAATAAGATTAGAATTAGAGAATGTTCAACTTACCTTTGTTTTTGAGAATGTTGAAGATTTTCTGAAAGTCTCTAGAGCCTAACTTCCCTGATAAGCTTCAAGATTTAGTAAACTGGAAATAGTTGAGCTTAGCATCAGACAATATTAGACTTTTTACATTGATATCTTGCAATAACAAAGTTGTTCTTTTGAAAAAGATAAATAAAAATGATTACAGTTATATATAGCAACTGCTCAAGAAAATAAAAAACAATAAAGCAGAATGAGGATTGACTTAAGAAAAGAAAGAATAGAAGCTTCCATATCTGCCTGAATCCACGAGATTATGTAGGAGGCCCATTTATCAGCAGAAAGAGGGAAAAACATTAGCCCAAGGACCGTTTCAAATAAAATCACACAAAGAATTAGCTTAGAATAAGCTAATTCTTAAGCTAGAATTAGAATAAGCTAATTCTTAAGCTAGAATTAGAATAAGCTTTCAAATAAAATCACACAAAGAATTAGCAGTTAGCTTTAGGGTAGTAGAAGTTAGCGATAAGGTGATTCTGAAGAAGTACAAGATGAAAGATTTATAGAGATCATTGCATGGCCAGAACCACCTAAAGGAGAACAAGGAGAAGCTGAACACGAGGGTTAGAGACAAGTTATAAAAGGTGAATGTAAGTGATTAGGGAATGGGCATGGTCAGTTTGAATCAGAAATAACAATAAAAAGAGTGTATTCTTGAGAAAAAAGAGAACAATAATGAACAAAGTGAAATGTAATGAGGTGCTGATTAGAATGACAAAGAGAAATGTAAAGAGGTGCTGATTAGAATCGCAAAAAAGAATGGTCATATGATTCAGCTATGCAGTCGTCTCAGTCCTGCTAATTAGCCAAAACCATAATTTAGGCCTCTTTATGAGGCTTTTAAAATGCACGCCAAAAGCATTAATTATTTATTAATAATTGTTAAATAAGTAGCTGATTAAATAGTAAACCAAAGAAAACTATTTATTCGTTATTTAAAATCTCCCTAAGACACAGGTTCTAATTCATTTAAAGTGGACACTCATGTTTTTAGTATTATATATGTGTATAATTTTTATGGAATGTTATATATGTGATGGGTTTCAAATATTTCAAATGTCCTTTATTACTACAAATATGAAAAAAGTATAACTGAAATAATTAAAACAGTTTTTAATTTACGTATTAAAAAAAAAGGTGTTCAAATATTTTTTATTTATTTATTTTTACAAAATATTTTTCTTACAGCTTTTGATGAGCTAGTTGCTGCTTATACTGAACAAGCTATTGGTTTGCTTGATGGTGGTGTCGATGTATTACTTGTTGAAACTATATTTGATACTGCTAATGCTAAGGTAAATTTTCAAATAAAATTTAGTTTCTCATCAAAATTTCAACATTTTTTTTAGTAATTATTTGTGTGTTTGTGTGTGTGTATATATGTATATATACATATATATGTATATATATGTATATATATATAAATATATAAATATGTATATATATATATATATATATATATATATATATATATATATATATATATATATATATATATATATTTATATATATATATATATATATTTCACAATTCTTATAGTTAGCTATAAGGATTGTAGGTCTGTATAACCATAAAAAAAGAGTCCAATCAATAGTAGTAAATAGAAGTTGTTGTGTTCTTGCAAAAGAGGATGTAATCTGAAAAAGGAAAGAGGAATGAAAGAATCTGAAAAAGGAAAGTAGAATGCAAAAAAGTTATGAAAACAAGTTAAACATTGAATCAATTCCTTGCAACTAGTTGCAATACTACTTGCAATATTTTTGCAAGTAGTGTTGTAACAATGTCGTATTGCACAACATTGTAACACTTAAGTAACAAGTCCCATATAAGTCATCACAAAACCATTAACCCTCCTCCTTCTCCTATCCCTCCTAGAGCGTGAGGTAATTAATGGATGACCTCTAACTACTCAATCATTGCAAATTGTATTTTAGTGTATAATAATTTTTCACCTGAAAAAATGATTATTTCCCAAAGTTTTGAATTTGTTATATATTGATTTTAATAATTCTATGGTTAAACTATTCAGTGTTTATGAACTTTTATTATTTACTTAATTTGTGATGTGCATAGAATATCCTGCATTTTTAATCATTACTGCACATCTTTTAGCCATTGAATCTACAGCTTGAATATAATTTTAACAGGAATAGATTACTATGTGTCCCTACCCATTTTCCATCATCTTTATTTGTCTTTGATAATCTTTTATTGGTTTTTTTATTAAATTTAAATCCAGTGCTTATGATGCCTGTGGTAATTATGGGAGTACGTCAATAAAGTTATTACTTTTTCCAGATTAATATTTTTTCCAGTTTATATTTGCTAGGGTTAATATAATATGTGGTTGCTAACAATTTAGGTATCCATAGCAACCCAAAATTAAAACTAATGTCACCATTGAAACTGCAACCCTCAAATTAGTAAACAGTGCAAAAATGGTTTATCTTTTTTATATGAGGAGTTATAAATTTTGTCCAGTAAAAGTGAATTCTGCCCACTATGCAATAGGATTATCTAACATTAATGAATAACTACTGTTACTGTGGTGTGCAAAATTGGTTAAACAACATAAGATTATTTTTATATGGTAGCCAAACAAACTTAAATGATTTTTCCAATATGTCTGCTTTGTATTAGTTAGAAGCAAGATTAAAACTTCTAAAATTGTTAGAATCAGATGAAGGTAATTGGATGTGAAAAAGTCAAGAAAGGATTTATATTTTAGATAATCAACAGTTTATTTTACCATTATGTTCTTTTATTATATTTCAAGATGTCACGATTTGAATAAATTTGATAAAATTATCTCTTTCTTCAATTTAAACTGTAAGACTTTATTCATGATTGAAAATTGTTAAATCTTTAACCATGGTTATCAAAAAGGTTTAACCTTGATTAAAATGATTACAAAAATCTTTAATTGTGGTTGTAAATTATTTTTAGTGCTTAATGCTTGTAAAGGAAGTGTGATATTTTTTAATTTTTTAAAGATTTTAAATAACATTAATTTCAGGATCATTTTAACAATTGATTCTAACAGTTGCTTTGGTTTTTGTGCCATTTGGTGTGAAGATTTTGCATCATTTAAAAAAAAAAAGTTACAACATTGTCATGACATCTAATTCTCTTTGCACAATACAATAAATATTTGAAAATATGCACATTATGAACAAGATTATTCTTACCATACGATGATGTGCATGTATGTATGTATGTATGTATGTATGTATGTATGTATGTATGTATGTATGTATGTATGTATGTATGTATGTATGTATGTATGTATGTATGTATGTAATGTATGTATGTATGTATGTATGTATATATGTATGTATATATAGACCCTTGCAAGGTTTTCAGAATGTTTTTTCATATTTTGTTGACATAAAAAAAAAATTTAAATGCAAGACCAGAAAATTTTTTCTTTTTTTTTCTTTAATTATTTGATAGACTGCTTGCTTAACCAAACCCTCAGTTGATATAGCAGCACTCCATTGCGAGTCAAGCTATTTGTCAGTTGATATAGCAGCACTCTGTTGCGAGTCAGGCTATAAGGTAGTCGATGTAGCAACACTCCCACATGGTTTACAGTATAAAAAAAAATTAAAATAAAAACATTTTATTTAAAAAAAAAAAAAAATCCTTTTTTCATTTTTAAAAACATTCTGGTCAATTAAATTTGCATTTTTGCGGTTTTTTAAAAAAATGATTAGTTTGCAATTAAATTAATGGTTTTAACTTTATGACAACACAGAAATTTTGTATAAAAATCAAAAGTAATTAAAAGTAACCTATTTGTTGTTAAAAGAATCATATTTTACCTTCCATACTCTCAAAGCCAACAATTTATAGAAGATATATATATATATATATATATATATATATATATATATATATATATATATATATATATATATATATATATATATATATATATATATATATATATATATATATATATATATGTGTATGTATGTATGTATGTATGTATGTATGTATGTATGTATGTATGTATGTATGTATGTATGTATGTATGTATGTATGTATGTATGTATGTATGTATGTATGTATGTATGTATGTATGTATATAGACCCTTGCAAGGTTTTCAGAATGTTTTTTCCCATATATATAGACCCTTGCAAGGTTTTCAGAATGTTTTTTCATATTTTGTATATATATATATAGTTCTATAAATTGTTGGCTTTGAGAGTACGGAAGGTAAAATATGATTCTTTTAACAACAAACAGGTTACTTTTAATTACTTTTGATTTTTATACTAAATTTCTGTGTTGTAATAAAGTAAAATTCAAATTTAGATAAATATAATTGTCATAAAATAATTTCAAATTTAGATTAATATAAAAATTAAAGATAAAACCAAATTATAATAACAAGTAAATAATTTTTTGTTTTATATCCATAAATAATTTGTGAGCGGTCTTAAGATCGTCTTTAAACAAATGCACTTGAAAATTCATACAAAAGTCATATGGAAAGGAAAATTCATACAAAAGGAAGGGAAGAAAAAAAAAGAAAAAAAAAAAAGAAAAAGAACTTCAAAAAAAAAAAAGAAAAAGAACTTTGTTTTCTTTAATTCTCCAAAAACCAAGCTTTTACACACTTTTGCTGGATTTGCTGCTTTGAATCAATAACTGCTGGAAATTCTAAACTAGTTGCATTACTTTCTCAGCATATGATAACATTACGTTCTTTGGTATCTCTTGATATCTAAACTGATTAATAATTTTTTCTAATCTGTTAACAGGACGAATTGCATACTGTAAAAAGTAACCCCATATCATAATATTCCTGCCACTGAGTTTAACACTGTTAGTTGTGTACCTAGGATTATTTTTTCTGTTTTTTTGGTCTGACATTATATTAGCAGTTATATTTGTATTTTATTTTTTTTTTGTGAACATCTCTTTGAGGTGATTTTTTTCTACAAATTTTACATAGAAAAGTGTAATGTGATCGTGGTGAAGTCTGTTTTAATTGAGTGGGAAATATTCTGGTTTTAATTGAGTGGGAAATATTCTGTTTTTAATTGATTGGGAAATATTCTGGTTTTCAATGATTGCTGGTTTTGCTTTTAAAAATTATAATGATGATAAGAATAATTTAAAAACTGAAAGGTCATTAAACAATATATGACAGAATATTCATAGTTTTTTTTTTTTTTAAATTTAAAAAAAAATGGTGTTCCTATTCTTTTGATCACCTATGTAATTAAAAAAGTTGATATAATTTTGTATTTTATTCACTTTTTAGTTGTATATTATTTTACTCTGTTATTACTTGTTGTAATTTATTTTTAAATGACACATGATAAAATGTCACATAATAATATAACTAAAAAGTAAAAAAAAATATAATTTTAATTAAAGTTGCCAATAATAAAAAAATTTTGTCATTTATTTTGTATTTAAGGAATCTTCAATCAAAAAAATCCATTTTAGTAATATTTATATATTCTGTGTCTGAGTTATTGCCATTAAATTTGATCTAGTATTATGTGTTTTGTAGTTATTACCATTAAATTTAAACTAGTATTACTCAGTGTAGTTAAGGAGAGATCGGAACGATTTGCATTTCTTAAAAACAAAAATTTACATTTTTAAACTTCAATTTTTTGTGTTTTCCACTTATTTTAGGCTGTTACTGTTATATATTTATATATTAATATATGTTATATATTAATAATTATTTTTACTATTATATATTTTGAAAAAGTTTAAAATTTTTAAAAAGTTTAAGTTCTCCTTATATAGTCTATTATTTTTTTATAAATCTTTTAAAATATAGTTTATAAACCTAAGTATAAAACAAAATAAAACTACCACTAAAATACATAAAACGCATCAGGGCAGCCTCATGAAAACAGTTGAAACAGGTGTGTTAAGTATTTACATTTCAAAAACTTCTCTTTTATTTGTAAGTAAAAAATCTCCTTGTTTACAGCATTAAATTGCTATGAGTGAAGACATTAGTCTTCACTCATAGCAATTTACTTCCATAATCTCTTTATGGTTGTTGGAATAAATTACCAAAAAAAAACGTTTCAGCTTTTATATAACTTCTTCCCCATAGTATTAAGTTAAAACTTGAAACTCCTAGATAATAAAATCAACAAATATTTGTAAATAAAATAATACAATGAGCTTCAAGATTTAAAAAAAATAATAAACCAATCAGAATGCATGCAAAATAAAACAGCATTTTTTGAAAATGAAAAGGCCTAAACGCAATATTTTTCTTCAGATCTTTCCTTAACTCTGTTGAGTATGTGTTATGTAATTTTTACCTTTAAATTTAATCTAATATTAAAATTTTAGGCTGCTTTGTTTGCTATTGAAACTCTTTTTGAAGAAAAGTACAAAAGAATACCTGTCTTTGTAAGTTTTCTATTCTTAACAAAGGCGACAGCAACTATAATGATGATATAATTGTATTGTCTTTGTTTTATAATTACACCCTTTAGGTATCAGGCACTATAGTTGATAAAAGTGGGCGTACTCTATCTGGTCAGACTACTGAGGCTTTTGTGGTCAGCACTTGTCATGTTAACCCTATGTGGTATAAGTCATTTTATTTAAAAATTGTTGCATATATTTACAGGCAAATTTGCATAGTTTTTAAACTTGTTAGTTTCTGCACAAACATTTTTTTTTTTTTAGTTTTTCTTATTCTTTTTTTAATGATATTTTGTTTTTTATTTAGATTTTATTTTTTTGAGTTCTAATTTGAAATTCGATTGCGTGTCTAAGCTTTCTGATATGACAAATTTCTGATATAATAAATATGTTTAATAACTTTATAACAATAAGGTTATTTCATATTTATTACAATGTCATTAATTCATAACTAACAGAGCCATTTTCATAAATATGTAATATCTATGAAAATGTTTTTAAGTATTTTTATTAGCATCATGTTATTAAATTTTTTACTATTATAATTAGAAAAAAATGTTTTTGGCATAATTTTTTGTTTTACTATTTATGAATGTCAAGGAACAATACTTGTGTTTAATATTTTTCCTATTGCGATCTTTTTTGTGCTTTTTTTCTTTCTTTTATGATACTTAATTGCATGTGTTATACTTGCATGCAAATAATTTTGATTACTTGTGTAATATTAATTGTTTGCTTAAGTGTTATGTAAAAAAATTATCTTTATTTGTATAAAGTGAAGAGTTAGATTAATGGTGGTTGCAAAAAAAAAAAAAGTTATTATTATATGTAACATTTAATTTTAGTTTAGGTTTAAATTGCGCATTAGGAGCTGAAGATATACGACCATTTATTGAAAGAATTGGTTTGATGTTTGAGGGTTATGTCATATGCTACCCTAATGCTGGTAACTTGGCTCTCACAATAAATTTTATTAAATCAGCATCAGTATTTTACAGATACAGTAGCATGCAAAAGTAACCAGATAAGACCAAACAGTATTTTAAAGTCCAATTTATCTCAAATTTTTAATGGAATGTCAAAAGTTTGAACTTTTATTAAAAATAAATTTAAATCTAAACAATCAAATTTCAAAAGTTAATTTTTTAGCATGAAGGCAGCATAACATCCTTAATGATATACTGTATATATTTTTGCCATTAATCAAGTGGATAAGATCAACATAATCTTTACTGAAGCAAACCAAAGTTTTAGTGTTGATAACTGGTATTTAAGGTCTTTTCTCTTTTGGACAACAAAATGTTATCAGATCCAAGTAACTTAAACTTTCATCACTATAAAGTATTTTTGCCCTTTTTCTCTTGTGTAGTTTAAATATTCATCAGCAAATGTTGTGATTGCTTTTCAATTCTATATAGAAGCAAAAGGTTTTTTAACCAAATGTTTTTCAAATAGATTTGCAGACCTCAAACAATGCTTGTTTGCTAAAACACTTCATTTCAGTTCTTTTATTTTGGAATTTTACATTCTTGCATGTATCATTTTTCAAGGCACGTATTAAAATTTTAACTTATCTTTCGGATGTTATTTGCGGCCTTTCTGACTAGATGCTTGATTATTATTACTTTCCTAATATCTTTCATTTATATTCAGGGATTTTGATTCTGATTTCAAAATGAGCAGCTCTTTTTGTAGTTCTGTATTGTTAAATTGCATCCAATATCAGTTTTTATACAACTAAACTTGACTTTAAAACTAAATATTTTCACTTAAGCATTTTTAACATTTATTTAAAAATAATTGTTTGGTTCTAAAATATATAAATTTTTATTAATTTTTGTAATTAATAAAAATTTATATATTTAGAATCAAATAAGTTAGTTCTGACTGGATATTTTCGTAATTTGATATTTCAATAAAGTTAATTTTTAAGATTAGATTGTTTAGAAAGTTAGTAAAAGTTCATTTGTTATTAATAATCAAATCAGTTTTTTGGCATTTCAGTGAAAATTTGAGAAAAATTGGACTTTTCATTTTAAAATTTATTCTCTTATCTTATCCTTACATACTCAACCCTCAGAATTAGGGTCGACATTTGGCAATGCCAACCTAACTGTTAACCTCTTTTCTATGTTTTATGGTAACCTCCTTGTGTCAATTTTTTTTGTTGTTGAACTGATGCCGACCTCAAACAGTTTTTGGTTGGCAATTTATTACCAACCATAAACTGTGGTTATACTGATAAAGCTGTGATTTTTCCTTTGAGGGCTTTGTGTGGGGTACATACTACTGTATTAATGAAGTTTGACTTTTAGTCTTTTTTTTTTTCAATTGTCATTGATACATTTATACTTTTTTTTTATTCATATTAAAATTATTGTAAATCATTCACAAATTAGTGGTAAATCAATGTTGGTAGATTTTAAATTTTATTTTATTTTCAGGGTTACCCAATCATTTTGGTGAGTATGATGAAACTCCTGAAGCAATGGCCAAAAAGATTAGGGTATTTATTTTAATATGTTGGATACCATGCATGTTTTGTACGCATGGTGTCCCTTTTAGTGCTTTCGGCTGTAAAACACGATCCATTATCGCGAATAATTTCCTAGGGTGCGCCAAATTTGCTAATGAGTCTTCGCAACCCTCAAATACACGCAAAAGCTGAACAGTCAGGAACTAAATCTAAATGTATAAAATGTGTACTAGCACAAGAAGGTAAAAGTATCCAACACTTAAATAGTTCCCCTTCAGAATATATATTTTTCATATATAATGGTCCACAGTAATCAATTCCTGCGTACTTAAAAGCATAATCATTGTTTACTCTACTTAAAGGTAACATAGGAACATTAGGATAACTATAAGTTTTTCTTTAGTAATTTCGGCATAAATAACATTTTTGAATTAATTTTTGAATTAAATTTCTAACTTTTGGAATCCAAAATTCCATTCTTAATTGGTTTAGTGTTTCTTTAACGCCCTTGTGCTTAACAATTTCATGAAAATGTAAAATAATTGATTCAGTAAAAAGACTTTCTTTTGGAAGAAATATTGGAAATTTAATATTGTAACTAATTGGAGCATTTCCCAATTGCCCCCTACATCTTATTATTCCTTCGCTATCAAAGAAAAATCCTAAATCATTTGTTAGTTGTTTATAATTCTTAGAATTATATACATTTTGTTGGATAAATTTAATCCAAATTATTTTGGCATTCTTTAATTCAATAGAAGAAAGTAAAAGATTGTCTTTCGTACTTGGGTATTTTTTAAGCAAGATACGAATTTTAGAATATAAGCTGTTACTCTTATTAAGCGAGAATAGGAATTAAAATAAGTTATATCAATGAATTTTAAATCTATGAACAATTTATTAGTTACTAGTAATATTTTTGTTTCCTCTGGAAGGTTAATTAAGTTATTTTGATCAAAGAAGGGCCAAATCTCTGGAGTATAAAGAAATTTGGGTCCATTAAACCATAACTGATTATTAGTTAAACTTTCAATACTAGCACCTCGAGATATAATATCTGCAGGATTACAATCTGTTTCGACGTAATCCCAAAAAGAAAAGTCAAATAAATATCTAATTTTTTCAAGACGGTTTTGAACAAATGTTTCATAAATTTTATTAGTATTTTTTATCAAATGTAAGCAAATATAGGAATCTGAAAATAATTTTAGAAATAAGAATGATTGATGAAAGTTCCTTATCTACTATTGACATAAGAAATGCAAGCAGTAAGCAACCTTTTAATTCTAATCGAGGTATTGTACATTTACTTAGCAAGGTTATTCTAGATTGTGAAGTGACATGAGAGGAATACTGTTCGTTCTCATTAAAAATACATCTTAAATATATACAACACCCAAAGGCTTTTAAATTAGCATCATAAAAACCATAAAGTTCAAATCGCGTGCAACTCGCACTCGATTTCGAAAAAAAATAACATCTAGGTACATAAATTGACTGTACAGAACCTAAATCCTTATAAATATCTTGTCATATTTTTACCAAATCTTTATTAATTTTACAATCCATCCTATTTTAGATATAGAAATTAGAAATTTATTGAAATAAAATTTTTAAATGCACAATTACTGGGTTTATTAGTCCCAAGTGATCGAAAAACTTGCTGTAAAACTAAGCATTTTCTGTAATATATTAAATGATGATTACCGTACCCAAAAATATGAAACTAAAAGCCATCATTACCATTAAATTGTTACAATCTATTTTATGCAATTATGTGTAGTTTTTGAAGTAACTTTTCATCTGTTGAATTTTACCTCTTTCAAAGTTCACCAGAAATACTTGCTTTTTGTGAAACAAAGTGTTGGTAAATAAGATGACTGTTATCCTTTAAATATAAATAATATGTGAGCATTATAGTCAAGTTATTTGCCTGGCCTAAATTACATATTAAGTTATTTATATGCTGTCTATCTATACATCTATATATCTAAATTACATATTAAGTTATCTATATGCCTCACATATTAAGTTATCTATATGCTGTGAAATGAGATTTAAACCTCTAACATTTCTTTTATGTTATTTAATTTTACATTTCTTTGTTTTCACCACTTTGCTTAATCACTTTTCTTTTTATTCTTTATTTTTTTAATTCTTCTCAAGACTGCACTTTTCAATTTTGTTTCTGATTGAATTGACAAGCCTTTTTTTGATCAGCCAAAATTGTTGATATGGTGACTTAAATGTTCATCATACTTAATGGCTTGGCTTCAGTACCACTTTGTTTTTGCTGCCTCAAAAAACTAAAAAATTTTGTTTTTCTCAATTTCCTACTTAGTTAACTTTATGACTCATTTTCCAGATAATCATGTAACTCAATATCAATACACCTAACTTACAATAATCACTTAACTTCACTTCTTGATTTGCATCTTGTCTTGGTTCTAGCTTGTTCTCAGTTTCTGAGTGCTATGATTTCTTTATAACTTTTATCTTGCACTTCTGCATCAGATTAACCCAATCATTGCGTTTCTTACTACTGCCTTAAAGCTAACTAGGTTTCCTTTTTGATTTTTTTGTTCCTCAAGCTAATTTCTTTTGTGATAGTCCTCAAGCTAATTTTATTTGTGATAGTCCTCAAGTTAATTTTATTTGTGATAGTCCTCAAACTAATTTCTTTTGTGATAGTCCTCAAACTAATTTCTTTTGTGATAGTCCTCAAACTAATTTCTTTTGTTTGTCTGCTATTAATGATCTGATAACATTTTTGTCACATACAATTTTCCACTTTTTAAAATCTTTTTCATAAGGTTGGATAGCATTATAGAAAGCAGATTTATTTACTGACATGGCAGATAATTTCAATTCAACAGTGTGAGGGAGTATTTTGATAATACTAGGTGGATGGTTTGAATCAGAGTGAACATAATTCAGCTCATTGTTGCATTTATGGTATGGTTGAAGAAATGTTTTATTGAGATCATATGTCACATCGAGATAGTAAACTATTTTCATATTGTATAGGATGAAAATGATTAATGTTTTGTATTCAGTACTTATTAATAGGTGTTGTTTGGCAAAGTTGATTGCATTGTTAAGTATTTTTTCACTTATTGAAGGTTAAAAATCATTGATGTTGAAAAATAAAAATTTGTAGAGATGTTTTTCTTTAATTTTCAAAAACCAGTCAGTGACGTTTAAATTGCTTTGCCACTGGTTAACAAATAACTTACTTATGAGTTCATTATTAATTTTTGATAAAATAACTTTTCTTATTCTTCCTCTTTTTGCTGGATTCAAATGATGTACTGTAGAAATATTGACAAAATTTTCTTTGTAATCTTTTAAAGTAAAAAAACATTAAGAAGACCCGTTTATCTTGATTTTATCATAAACATCATGGTTTTGTAAAACATGCTTTTCTTCTTTATATATTTTATTTTTTAATTTTGGGCCAGCTTTCTTGCAGGTGGCAGTATTAGCATTTTTAAAAAGGTAGTTATACTTTTCTTTGGCTAACTTATACATATTTGATGTTTTGTTGGCTTTTATATATGTTTTGTTTGACATTTGTACTAATTTTATATCATTTTTTATATTATCTTGAAAATTGGTTTTTTCTGTTCAAGAGTTTTATATATATATATATATATATATATATATATATATATATATATATATATATATATATATATATAATGTTTATGTATTATATTATATTAAAATATTACAAAAGAACATAAAACAGTGCTTAATAGGACTTTTAAATTTGTCCTTCCTGGAAATTGGATTGGAAAAAAGTAACCAGTGACATTCCTCAAGGCGCAGTTCTTGGTCCTAAGCTTTTTACTGCTTTTATTAATGACTTACAAAACCAAATTAGTAGCAAAGACATTTTCAAAACGTATGCAGACAACACTGAAACACTTAATGTTGTCAACACTGCAGAACAAAAACTTTGTTTGCAATGTCTACAAGCTGACATATACTTTTGTTAATAGGGTCTAAAAATGGCTTATTAGTATAATAATATAAAAATTAATATAAAAAATGGTTAATGCATTTTCACTAAATCCATTCCACATCTTAACTTTTTTTACAACAATGAATCAAATGGCAATTTCAACAGAATTCATCTCATAAATACAGCATCAAACAAAACTCTAAAAGAATCAAAATCATTAGAGTGACCTTAGAATTCAATTTGCAATGATCCAAAACACCATGGTCAAACATCTATTGCCTTTGCTACTGCTAACAAAAATGATATCCTAAAGCACAGCTTTATAAACAGAAATTCAAAACTCTGGAAAAAGCTATATACAGTTTATACATATACACTTCTAGCTTGGTGTTCTTATTTAGAAATAGATATTTCTGCAATTGAAAGCATTTAACAATGTGCAACAAAAGTATGGCAAGAAATGTCTATTGATTATAAACTGAGATGTTTTAGATTAGGTCTCACTTCTCTATGTGAAAGAAGAAACAGATGGGAACTTATTCAAAAATTTAAATTAGGGGATAAAATCGATTTAATCAATTAGTATATTAATTCAATTAAAAATTCCCCCAGCTATAGGCATCTAATATCTTAGAGAAATCAATAAATTGCCTAGTCAGATATAACTTTTCTAACAACAGTGTGGTTAACACACAGAATTCCTTGCCAGACAATGTTGTCAATGCCAATTAAGTTAAAGTAAATTTAGACTCGCATCTAAAATAGCTACTAAAACACATCACTTTCAGTGGCTACTTCAATGCTGCATAAACTAGTTTTGCTAGTTAATAATGGAAAAACTCTTCTGGATATTTACACTTTTGAATTCTTATTGAACGATTGAACATCTACAGTAATTTTTTCAAGAACCAACACTCCCCTGTCTACCTGACTAGACAACTCTTTAGATTACTTGTATGCAATTATAGAGTTACAGAAACAAACAGTATAACAATACACATACAGATAGAGCAGTATAAAAACAGTGGTACAGATGATATATATATATGGTATAGATGTAACAACAACAATACAAAAATGTGGTAGTATACAATAAAAAAACCATTCAAATAAATATGAAATAACACAATTAAATACCAAATATTTTTAACTTATTCAATATTAAACTTTAATAATAAAAATGTTTAAAAGCTCAAGATTAATTAACAATTAAACAATTAAAAAATACCTTGATATAACCCTGTAAAAGTCTTCAATTTGTTCTGGTGTAGCATTTACAGCACCTGCTGCATTATGCGAAGGAAGAACAGATAAAGCATTTTTAAACCACAATGTAGTAGGCTACATATAAAATACACAATACACAGATGCAGCAGTATAATATATATATATATATATATATATATATATATATATATATATATATATATATATATATATATATATATATATATATATATATATATATATACTACTTATCTTTATAACATACAGCATTTTCAGAAAAAGAAAAAAAAAGAAGAATAAAGAAAGAAAAAATTGCTGCATAAGTACAAAATAAATTTTTAAATATTTTTAAATGTAACTGTCAAAAAACTTTGAAAAAAACCAGATGATCCCTAATGATAAAAAGTTTAAAAATTTTATCATTTATATTTTAAAATTTTTTATCATTTTCATTAAAAACACCTTTAGTTGTGTTTAAAAAAGAAAAAATGTATTTGCATATTAAGGTTACCCTTTGGCAAAACTGTAGCATTTCCCATAAAACATCAGCAGCTTCGGGTAACATATAAGACTGAACACCTCCAGCACAAGCATTTATCAAACCTAAATTCCAAATAAATAACACATTAGGAAGAGAAAACAAAAATTGTAAATTAATACTTTTATAATCATAAAGAACAAACAACAACCTTTAACAATTTCTTGGCCGTATTTTCCTAAAAGACTTTCAACAGCAGAGACTCTTTCTTGGACTTCATCAAAAAGTGGATTACTCTTAAAAGTAAATTTGATATATATATATATATAAATATATATATATATATATATATATATATATATATATATATATATATATATATATATATATATATATATATATATATATATATATATATATATATAAATACATATATATATATATATGTATTTATATATTTGGGTGTGTTGATTTTTATTTTTTTCCTAATTTCAAAAACGGCAAGGTTACTTTTGGTGAAGAATTTTATGGAGATTCTGAATCTGCAAAAAAAAGAAAGAAAAAGAAAGTTTTGCTGGATGGGTCAGCATTGTTTTGAACAGAAAAATGACTAAAATGTGACTAATTTCTTGATTAACTCAATAATTATGTTGAATTTTAAGAAAATTGATTATTTGGTTCAAAAAGTCAGAAAAATAAAAAGAAAAGGATTTTTCATGAAGGGTATTTTTACAAAAATCAGGCACTTTTTTCATATTTTAGACAAAGAATGATATGGTAAAGTGTTCTGTTTTTTTCCTGTTTTTATCAAGCTTAAAAAGTAAGGGGGGTTCATATATGTGGGGAATTTTATAGGGAATCTGAATCTGAAAAAATAAATAAAAATAAAACATGTCTTGTTGGGGGGAATGCTTAGTTTTCAACAAAAAAATGACTAAAGTATGAATAATTAAAGAGAAAAAATTATAAATCTATAAAATTATAAATTCTAAAAGCTACCTTCATAAAAGCTCCCATTATGTGTTTATTTTTTTGACTTTTCAACAAAATATGATAGTTTCATAAAGTTCAACATAGTTTATATAGAGTTTATCAAATAATTAAATTTTTTTTTTTTTTTTTTGATTTATAATTTTTTCTCCAATTGTTTTCAATAATTTCCCTTAATACTCTGTAAATATAACAAAAAGATTGTATTTTGTGTTAGATAGAAGTGGTGAGGATATGGGCCATCCATAAAGGACGTCATCCAAATAGGGGGGAGGGGGGAGGGGGTCGAGTTAAAAAGGACAAAAAAAGACAAGGAGAGGGGGGGAGGTTGTCAGAAAAGGACGTCACTTTATAGATTTTTTATTTTAGTTTAATTAACATGAAAAAATACGTAAACATGTGTTTTTAAGAAGATGATGTATGAGAATATTTTTAATTTTATTTTTCAAAGGTGTAGCAGCAGATTCAAACATCATTGCGAGATGAAATAAATTTTTTTGGAGTTAAAAATAGGGGGGATTATATGACGTCCTTTTCAAGGGGGGTATAGGGAAAAAGGACAACCGGTGACAAAGTAGGGGAGGGGGTCAAAAATTGGCTAAAAAATGGTGACGTCCTTTATGGATGGCCCCATAGACATTGTTCCTGACATAACAATGGCTTTCAATAGTCTTATATACTGGTTTTCTCTATAAGGTCTCTTCATTTGGTGTATCTGGTAAAGTTTTTGAATAGTTCTTTTCTAACTGTAATATTAAAGTTGTTTTTTATGGGCAACAGCCATCTTCATTTTCAGTAACTTCTGGGGTACCACAATGTTCTATACTTGGATGCGGATTCACAACTTTTGCGTAATTCTTGTGTAGCTGAGCAAAAGTTACAAAAAACTTACGCAAATTATTTTTTGCATAACTATTTGGTATTCACATCTTTTACGCAGCATTTGCGTAAAGTTAAGGTTGTGCATGAGTTACGCAAAACTTAGACAAAACTTACGCAAAATTTGAGGCAAATATTTTATAACTATTTGTATAAAGGGAGTAGTTGGTATTACTTAATCTTTTTTTTATTAAGAAATACAGAGCAAAGTGACCGAACAGTCAATGCAACTTTTTATAGAGCCTTTTTATAGAGAGAGAGGGCTCACATTTACTTAGACTTGAATTATTTTTTTGTTATTGCTGTATTTAAAAATATAGCAAAAGCATTTAGTGGCTATTTAAATAATATGTGACATTCTTAGATAGGTGATGGTGGTGTGGGGGGAGGGTGTTTGAGAGTGTCACCAAATATCATGTGGGAGAGGGGATGGTTAGCCACAGTGTGACATGACAAAATTTTTAAAATTTAAATTCTAATTATAGCAGATTATTAAACTTTAAGCAAAAAGTAACAAATTTAAAGATATATTTGTTTAAAAATGTCACATCATAAAGAGGAAGGGGAGGGATTGTTTAAAATGTCACATATACAATGGAAGGGGGGGGGGGTTTAAGTCTAAAAACAGCAAAAAAAGTCACTTAGTATTTGAATAGCCCCATATAGCATATACTGGCAATTACTTTTAAAAGTAATAGCATAAACTAGTAATATTATAATAATAATATTGCAATAGTAATAGTAATATTGCATAAACAGTCTTTCAATCTATTTTGAATATCTATTAGCAAAATAATCAATAATCGAAAAATAGAAATATTGACCAAATAAGAGTTGGTTGGTTTTTTAAATGAGATATTCATTATTAGCAAAATGCTTCACATCTATTATTGTAAATATAAACATTACAAGCACTCAATAAGAACTAATTGGGGCATATTTATCCAAACCCAAATAGGTAATATAAGTTGTATTATCCTGAGCTTATATAAGATAACTATTTGGCTTCCTGTATGATGCCAACAGTGAATGCTCATTGGTTTTATTTAATCATTCAAATAATTGTATACTAAAGTTGCTTTAATACAATAATTTTTGAATTGTTTATTTAATTATTTGAGTAGTTAAAAAATCAATTATTTTTAGCCTCTGCTTTTGCCTTTCTTAGTAGTGATGAACCTAGAGTTTATTTTTGAGATACCCTTTTGATGTGGTGAGTTATAAAACCCTAACCTTGCTGCGAACCTTATTTGTAAACATTACTGGCTAAATGAAGTAGCTGAAGTATACAGAAAACATTTGAAAGAACTTTTTTTTTTTTTAAGTATAAAAAGAAAATAACAAGAAATTAATATTTTTAGGCATTTTTTTGGAGCCCATACTGGTCCTATGGTACCAAAAAATTTTTGGGTTCACCCCTGCTCAGATCATGCAACTTGTCTAGCATAGCTTCAAGAAGTTAAAACTTTAGCATAAAATTTCACATTCATAAAATAATGGAAGTGCTAAACTAAAGTATTTTGTTTTAACTTCTTGTTTTAACATTCTCACTTCTCATACACTAGGGTATAAGAAAACATTATAATAATTGTCAAATTTTCTTTTCAGTGGTCTTGTTTTATCACATAATTGACTTGAATCAACAACACTTTTGTTTGCTATAGGGAATGACAGTTTCGTTAAATAATGAAATTGCTTCAATAAATTCAAGAAATACTATTAGTTGCATTCTAGTTTATTTATAAACAAAAATAAACTAAAACTCTTTATAAACAAAATTCAAATTTTCAGAAATATAAGGAACATAAACAAAAGTTCAACAACATTTCTATAACATATTATGAAAAATACATTAATGCTGGTTGACTATCTTGTCAATATAAATCTATATTTGTAACTTTTATGCGTACAGTTTCAGTTGTATCAACACAATTAAAAAGTTGAGTTTGAATTAAAATCCACTTGTTTTTTATTAGTTTTTTTCAGTGATATTTCAGATTGAGAATTTATGGTACCATTTTTGAACAAATAAAAACATTATTCTTATATTTGATGGATAAAGTAGAGTTAATTCTGTGAATCAGGCATGCGCAGTATAAAAAAGTTTGACACGTTGACAGAGCAAGTATTGATAACTACAACAAGGAGATTTTATATAATAAACTACAACAAGGAGATTTTATATAATAAACTACAACAAGGAGATTTTATATAATAAACTACAACAACAATAATAAACTACAACAAGGAGATTTTATATAAAAATAAAAAATATAAAAGATCTACCAAAACAATTTAAACTATTACAGAATATGTTTATTATTGACAAATAACAATATTAATTACCAAGAAATTAGCCTTTGAAAAACGATGCTCTTTTTTTTAAATAATTTAAATTATCCATAGATATTATTATCTTCTAATAATTGAAATAATTAACAACAGAGCAATATTATTCAAAATAATCTAATATTGTTAATACCTCTGGATAACTGAAACTATCAGAAAACATAGCATCATTATTCAAAGTAAGTTTAATATTTTGGTTATAATACTTTGTTACTTCAACAGCCTGATTACTCAGAGATAATTTTAACATTATTTTATTTTGAAATAGCCTTGTTCTCATTTATAAATATTATATAATATTTATAAATGAGAACAAGGTATTTAATAAATAATCTAAAATAATAGATTATTTAAAAACTAATGAATAAATTACATATTTATGTGAATATTGTATCTATATTGGCACACATATTTCCCCTCTCTTGTACACAGAAACTCTCTCTCGCTTTATGCTAGTTATGCAAGTTAAAGTATATGCTTCAATAATATTATTGTATATATTTTTGTATAGTATAGTATAGATAGTATAGTATAGATACAACCATGAGTTACATCATATAGTTTTAAAGTATGACAAAAACTAGTTATTAAGTTAATTAATAACTAATTAATAGTTATTTAATAAGATATTGGCATACTACAAAACTATATAGTATATCCATACTATGGTCACTCTCCTTGTTTTAGCTAGGCTATGAGAGAGTGAAACATCCATTATATAAATTGTATGTATATTTTTTTAACCTTAAATTTAAGTTGAAAACAATTTATATAAAACAAGTTTATGTAATCTATATTTTTGGTAAATATATTGCTATCGTTGTTGCTGTTAAAAAAAAAAGTATGATGAATAGTAACAATCTTACTGAGCCTTTAATGTCTTCTTGTTCTCTTCATTCACTACTGGCCTCTCAAAGAAACCTTATATACAATCTGCTAAATTGTTGTTGCTAAAGCTACAGAAAATATCTTCTTTGAAAAAACATCAGAAAATAGAAATAACTCTTGATTTGACTATAGAAATCTTTCACACTTAATTTTTTTGTTTGGATATAGAAAAAAAAAATTATTCTCACTAAAAAGTGGCTAAAATTGAATAAAATTAATGGGTTTAAATAATTTTATTTTTTGTTTTTTGTAAAAAAGTTATTTTAGCAAAAATATTGTTAAATAAATTGTTCTTTCTACACACACACAGATATATATATATATATATATATATATATATATATATATATATATATATATATATATATATATATATATATATATATATATATATATATATATATATTAGGGTGTCCCAAAAAAAAAAAATTTTTTTTTTCCTTTAGTTTTGTGTGTAGTTTTGTCCGTTAAAAGTGAAAATAAGAAGATTTTTGAAAAATTTTGAAGTTTGACCCCCCCGCCCTCCTTTTAAAGTTTTTACCCCCTCTGCCGCCCACTTTTTCAAAATTATTCACTTTTAAACTGATTTTAGGCTAAATATATAAATGTATTAAATATGTTTTGTATCAATATTGATCACTATTATAATTCTAAACTATGTATCATAGCTAATATTAGTAAACATAATTTGTTTCAATTCAACGATTCTCAAAAATTATTAAATATTATTATTCAATGCTTGAGATGAGAAAATTTTTTATGATGAATATTAATGTTACATACATTATTCAAATAATTTTATAATTTATAGCTACTTTTTTATCTATAGATATAATAGCATATATAAAAAATATTTGATCAGTTATGAGAAATAGTAAATTGAGGAAAAATGATGAGAAGTTTGATAATATTGTTGGTAAATTATTACCTACCCTTGAAGCAAAGATGTATAGTCAGCTACCAACAAATGGAGATGTTGTACGCCATTATCTTTATCTTACAAGATTTGAATTGAAATTAACTGGTAAAAAAGAAGTTGCATCTGTAGTTTGGGAAAAAGTTTATGTTTTTTGGAAAATGGCAGGAATTCCAATAAAACAGAAGAAAGATATTGTCAGAATGATACTACATCTGATTCATCTTAGAGAGAACTTGATTAAAAATGCAAAAAAAAAAAGTTATGCAGCTCAACTTCTGAGTTTTACTAATAAACTATCATTATTGTTTGATATTGCAGCATCAAATGCCGAAAATTTGATAAGAAAAGATACCTTGCGTAGTATCAATAGTCAGATCTCAGATATAGACTTTCTCTCAGATCAACGTCACTTAAAAAAGCAATTTTTGGGCCCATTAGACAAGAGTTATGCTATGAAAGTGAAAAGAATGGAGGAAAAAGAGAAAAATAAAATCAAGGCTATTGAAAAAGAGAAATCTAGAAAAGAAAACATAAAAGAAAAAAGCTTCAATGTATTGGCAGCATTTGATAATGAAGGCAAAACTCATAATAAAAATGAAGAAAGTACTATTGCTAGACAGAAAAAAAAAATCAAGATATTAGAAAACCCTAAAGTTTCCTTAATGGCTGATAGGTTGAATCTATCCAACAGAGAAAGATCTGGAATCATTTTAGCTGTAGCTGAAGCATTAGGTCACAATTTAGATGAAATATCTATCTCAAAAAGCACAGCGTACAGATCAGGTAAAAAAATTCGACAGCAAGTTTCAAATGATCTTAAGAAAACATTCATTTCACCCATGTACTCTTCCATTCACTGGGATTCAAAGCTGGTATCTGAGGTCGATGGTAAAGTGGAACGTTTGGCTATTGTTGTAACAGGAAAACCAAGTGCACCTGAAGGGAAATTGTTGTGTGTATCCAGGATTCCTGATACAACTGGGCGAAGTCAGGCAACAGCTACCATAGATGCTGTAAAGACATGGAAACTGGAAAAAACACTTGTGGCAATGATTTTTGACACAACTCCATCAAATTCAGGTTGGATAAATGGTTCTGCAAAGTTAATTGAAGAACACTTTAACAAAAAGTTACTTTGGTGCGCCTGCCGACACCATATTTTTGAAAGAGTTTTGTCATCTGTTTACTTCAAAGTTTTTGGAGAATGCAGATCTCCAAATTATGAGCCATTTAGACACTTTAAAAATGAGGTATGGCCTAAGCTTTCATTAACTTCAGATACTACTTTTAGAAAAATAAAGATCGAAGAACCAGTATTAAAGACCAAAAAAGCAGAAGTAATAATTTTTTTGTCTGGTTTACTTAACCGGAAATCTCGAAAAATATTAAGAGATGATTATCGAGAATGTTGTCAACTTGCTTTGCAATTACTCAATCCAAAACAAATAAATATACAGTGGCACAAACCTGGAGCCTTCCATCATGCTAGATGGATGTGTACAATCTTGTACACATCAAAGATGTTTGCTTTTGCTGACCTGGCAGAGTATGAAGAAAGTTTTATAGAGAAATTGTCAAGGTTTTGTAAATTTACTTTACTATTTTATGTGAAAATATGGCTTACGTGCACAAGCACAGTCGATGCTCCATTTAATGACCTGGAATTCTACAAAGAAATGCTTATTTATAAAAAAATTGACAATGATGTTGCTGTTGCTGCCCTGGAAACATTTAATCGGCATCTTTGGTATTTAACTGAAGAAATGTCCCCTCTTTCATTATTTTCTGATAAGGTATCTGATCGAGATAAAACTAAAATGGCTAAAATAATTCTGAAAAATATAAAAGAAAACTGTGAACATGATATAGGCTTTCCACAATTTCCTCTTCTGAAGCAGAGTACTTGTTTGACTGATTTAATTGGACCAAAATCAAGTAACATTCTAAATTTATTCGGATATTCAAATGAGGATGGCGGTTGGTTGGTAGAATCCCCAAAGTTTTGGAAAACTAACACAAATTTTAATCACATGTTTGAGCATATCAAATCACTGAAATCTGTAAACGATACAGCAGAACGAGCTGTAAAACTAATTCAAGACTATGCAACATCTATTACAAAAGATGATGAGCAGAAAGAATTTCTTTTACGTGCAGTAGAACACCACCGAAAAGTTCTTCCTCACATAAATAAACAAGCAATTCAAAAACTTAATTTTTGAAAATATGCTTTAAAAAATCTCTTTTTTATTATACCTTTAAAATATTGTTATTTTGTTGTTATAATTTAAAAAAAATGAGATTTTGAACTTCTTAGTACTTATTCCCATTGTGCTTTAATATTGTTAACTTATACCAATCATTTCTATCCTTCTTTGTTTAATAATTGAGTATTTATCAAATTTTTTGTTTTAATTAAAAATTATAATTTATAAAATTCCTTATTTAGGCAGAAAAAAATCATACGACAAAGGTAATATTAGAAAGGATGGGGGGGGGGGGGGGAGGGTCATAAACCAGGTGAAAATTTATTTTTAATAAATTTTCATTTTTATTTATTACAAAACTATTTGAAATTATAATAACAGTTAATTATATTGGATATAAATAATAGATATATAAAAGGAGTATATTAAGGATTGTTTTAGGGCAAAAACACATTAAAGGGGTTATGAGGGGGGAGGGGTCAAATATGAATTTTTTTTTGAAAATAACTATTGATTATGTTTTATCAAACAAAATTACACAAGAAAATTATATAAAATACGAACATAGTTGATTATCAAAAATAATTTTAGTCCTTTGTGTCATTTTTTTAGAAAAAAAACACAAAAAAAAGAGCGGCGGGGGGGTCAAATATGAAAATTTTTTGATTTTTTTTTTTTTTTTGCTTTTAGTAAATAAAAATACATATGAAACTGTTTGAAAATCTAGAAATAGTTAAAAACTAAAAAAATTCATGTCATTTTGGGACACCCTAATATATATATATACAGAAAAAAATAACTGTGGTGAGTTCATCTTTTAAATGTATTTTGTAAAATTTTAAAAGATTTTAAAAAAACTGGAAACTGAATTTAAAATGTATTTAAGGCAGCAACAGAATCAGGAAAATAATTTTTTCAATTGAAAATTTGTTTTATAATAAAACTATACTATATTTCTTTATTTTTTTTTTCTAACTATTATTGATGCATTTAATAATCTAGGTTGTGAATTATATATTTATATAGGAATTTGCATTAGATGGTTTGTTAAACATAGTGGGTGGTTGTTGTGGAACAACACCTGCTCACATCAAGTAAGTTATGTTTAGTTTTCTTTTCTATATAAAATTTTATTTAACTTATTACTGCTTGATTACATTGTTTAATTAATTTTACGGGTTTTTTTGTTTGTTTTTTTGCATTTACTCATTATTATTCTGTTGTTTTAAGCTAACTCTAATTTCATCCATTTTTGAACTTTTTTTTTTTTTTTTAATAGCTATATTAATAGATTTTTTTAATAATTTTAATTTTAATAAATTTTTTTTTTGTATTTGATAATTTTCAATTACAGTAAAATTCTGTTATCTCGAACTCTGGGTAACTCGAACTCCCAATAACTTTTGAGTTCCCTTTAAACCCTCACCACATAAAAGCTCGATAACTCAAACACCCATTAACTGGAATATTTGCTCAAATCATTTTATCTGTTTCGATAGCTGATATTTTTCTGATAACTCGAACTTTAGAGCAAAAGTATCATAAAAAAACTGCAATGAAGCCTTTGCATTGCAATGTTAGCATAATAATAGTTTAAGTTTATAGTTTAAGTTATACTAACGGGCGTTGCAATATTATAATAAAATTTGTTGTGCTTACATTTTATTATGACTACTGTCCCTTTAAAGAGAAAAATGAATACAAAATCAATTAAAGAAAAGTACGTTGCTTTAAAGGAAATCGGAAAAGGATTGTCAAAGTCTCAGGCTGCTATGAAATATGGCATTCCAAAAAATACGCTGTCAACATGGATCAAAATAAAGAAAAAATTTTCAAATGTATAAAGACACAATGGATCAAGTCAAAACGTATGAGAATTAAAGAAGGAACATTTTCAAATTTAGATAATCTTCTTTTTAAATGGCTTTTAAATGTAAGGAGCAAAAACTTGGCAGTATCAGCAACAACTTTTATTAACTTGAATTGTTTTTACTTATTGGCCAAAGTTCGTGTTATAGAATGTCCTGATAACTTGAACATTCACTAACTTCAATAAGAAAGTAAACAGTAATGTAAAAATGTCAAAAATGTCATGAAGGATAAAATAGTAAATAGAGAAAATATCTTTGATAATATTATTAAAAGTAGTAATCCTAATGTTAGTAAATGATTGTAGTTTTGTGTTATTTTGAATTTCTCAGATTTTTTATTTTAAAATGAAAAGAAGATTTTAAGCATTCAGAATAATGTTCTTAAAGTTTTAACAAAGCTACAGCGCTATAAAATTTTTGGGGGAATTTTCCACTGGATTTAATTATGTCCACAGGAGAAAATTGCATTTAAAGTTTTTGCCTAATTTGCACTAAAAAACTTAATTTTCAAATTGCGTTTCCACTGCTTTCACATTAAAAAAACCTTTTGTTTTGCTCAAATGTTGCAAACATCTCATAACAACATTGTATTAACATTGTATTGGCACCAAATTTTTGCCGCTGAAATAATGTAAACAAATAAATTGTCATTTTTGTTAAAAGTTAATTTGTCTTTGTCAAAAAATGCCCAATTCAGCAAAAACTTATGGTGATTGCAGAAAATCTGTTTGCTTTTTGTATTTGAAAAAAAGTGGTCGCATATTAACTGATTTTTTGATTGAAAGATTGAAGAATATTTTTAAGAGTAATATTAATTTCAATGATGAGAAAATTCCAACTGGCATTTGCAATTCATGTAGAATTCATTTGCAATTCAAACTATAACAACTTGATACTGTTAGTATTATTAGACAGATACCAGACTTGTACAATTTCAATTCGATTATCATTAGGCCATCTACTAGATAATCTGGTGTATAATTTGTAAGGTGGCCAAATCAAAGCTCAAAGAAAATCTGCCACAGATTGAGCTTGATATATTGAATCCAAAAAAAAAATTCAAGCACTCTTACCTAGCTCTCGTAATTTCAGTTACTCCCAAAGTACATGCAATTATTCATCATATTAAGGAATTTGCTTAAAAAAATGAAACTGGGCTCAGAGTTTTCAGTGAGCAAACCACTGAATCAATGCATGTCAAATTCAAGATCCACTGGCAAAGGTTTAAAAGGCAACTTTCTCATCCTGAATATGGGGATAAACTTCTGAGTTGTGTTATTGATCTTAACAGCTAACACATTTGAAATTAAATTGTTGAGGATTAAAAACTCTCAGGAAATAAATCTCATTCAGAGTGTATTTTTGTGCGTGAAATTACTTTTTTTTTTCAGAAGATCTACAGTCTCAAACTTGTATTGGTTTAAGCTTTGTTATTCAGTGTATATATATTTAGAAATATATGCACATCTTTTTGATAAAAAGTTGTTTTAAATAATGCCATGCTTAAGAATAAAATTTTAAAATCAATTTCTTTTGATTTTAATTTTTTTAATTCTTGTATATTTTCTCATTTTTATGCGTTTTCTTTTTTAAAAGTTTATACAATTCTTGTTTAGTTTTTGAGGATTTAATATGAGCTAAGGACGTTAGAACGTCGGAGAGCGTCAGACGTTACGCCACGGAGTTAGAAGAGGCTTGGTTTTTATGACAATTTTTTTTTTCGGGAAATCTTTTGTATAGTTTGCAAAACTGTTTAAGAAATAAATCCTATGCATTATTAACCTCTTGCAACTCTAGAATAAGATCTAAATTGATATTAATTTTTAAAAGATTTTTTAATTTTTGTAAGGAATTTTCATTAATAGTTGCCTATATATTGTCTTTTTAGGCGGATGTCCGCTAAATATTATGTAATTAGAAGCTAAGAAAGAGGGAAAATGATCAGAGAGGTCACTCTCTGATCATTTTCCTTTCAATGATCAGAGAGGTCACCAGTATGAAGCTGTTCATCACAAAAGTTATTCAATATTATGTTATCATAAATAATCTAAAGCAAGAATTAAATATCATTTATAAATAAGTTTCAATGGAAACTTGCAACAATCTTGTAAAATCAATGCACAAGAGATGTGTAGCTTGCAAAAAAGAGGTGTAGCTTGCAAAAAAGATATGTAGCTTGCAAAAGAGATGTGTAGCTTGCAAAAGAGATGTTTAACTTGCAAAAGAGATGTGTAGCTTGCAAAAAAGCAAGAGCAATATTTTAAATAAAGTTTCAGATGTTTATTTTTGCATCAGTTATAATGCAGTTTTTTTTATTGAAAACTTTTATTATTATGTTTGATATTGTGTATGTTTTAGTATATTTGTTTAAAAAAATTTCCTTCTTGCAAATATATAAAAAAAGTAAATTGAATATCTTCTTTAGTTCTTTAGTTTATCTTCTTTATTATACTTTTTTTAGTTTATTTTCTTTATTATACTATTTTGTTATTATACTTTAAATAAGGAAACAGCAATTTTGCAATAATATAGTTTTTTTGAAAGCTCTGTATAAGTCATAATTAGTCTATTGAATGAAGAGTTACACAGGTTACTGAGATGGCAAGCTAAGTTTTTTTTTGCATTAAAAGGACATTTTTAACACTTATCAAAATGGTTAATGACTTCTAAAACATCTTAATTTAAAAAAAAAGTGTAGTTATGTGCTTCAGGTGCATCCTATCCCCCCTACAGTCAGAGGCGTTGTAGGAAAACAGGGTTTAACACTGTTGGTAAAGACTGCTCCTAATGTTTAACAAAGGAAAGCAAAATTACTTTTAAATCATGTTTCTCAAAATCTAAAACATGATTAAATTACAATATACTTTATTCATACTGACAATACAACACGTTATATTTTAGATGTGTGTTATGTTTTTAATGTTATAAACTGTATCAAGCAAGAATAAAACAACATGGCAACAGTTGTTATTAACACAAGCTTTTTATATTGACAAAGCAACCTTGCACTGTTGTTTTATTGCTTTATACAGCTAAAAATGTTAAACAAATATATTTTTTTTAAACATGATAGAGCTATTGCTGATGCAGTAAAAGATATACCTCCGCGCATTTTACCAGAATCATTACATCATGATGTATTACATCTGTCGGGTAATTTTATTTGTTTCAAAAATTTTTTTTGTCATAATATAGTTGTAAAAAATTGAGACAAGATGTTATAATATAGTTGTGATATGACAATTTATTACACATATTTAATTTGAAAAATTTGGTTTAACAAGGTTTGGAAATAAAGTCCATCATGTTTGATTCACTTTTCATAAACATTGGTGAAAGGTGTAATGTTGCTGGTTCTCGTGTGTTTTGTAATTTAATAAAGAATGGAAAGTTTGAGGTACCTTTTTTAAATTTTTTGTTTTTTTAATTTTTATTTATTGTATGCAGAAATTAATTTTTTTTAAGTATATTTTTGCTAAAAAATGGCTGGTAAAATTTTAAAAATATCATTGATATAGGAAGCTTTAGCTGTTGCTAAGACACAAGTCGAGAATGGTGCTCAAGTTCTTGACATTAACATGGATGATGGAATGTTGGATGGTGTAAATTGCATGACAACATTCTGTAATTTAATTTCTTCAGAGCCAGATATCTCAAAAGTATGTTGAAAATATTTATTTTGAGTAAAAAGTTGAGCTGTTACTGTTTTTTAAAAATATTTGTTTATAGTTGAAACTATTGAAACTTTTGTTTAGGTACCACTATGTATAGATTCATCTAAGTTTGAGGTTATAGAGGCAGGATTAAAATGTACACAAGGCAAGTGTATTGTTAACAGCATCAGTTTAAAAAACGGCGTAGATGATTTCTTGCAAAAAGCTAAACTTATTAAAAAATATGGTGCAGCAGTTGTTGTCATGGCTTTTGATGAAAAGGGACAAGTGCGTTTAACTTTTTATTTGTTTATATAATTTTTTTTTCTTTTATAAATATCATTTTTAAAATTTATATTTCATAAAAATTTTTATAAAATAATATAAATTTTTACTACTTTAATACCATTTAATCATTTTGTTTTTATATTTATTTGATACAGTTAAGGCTATTCATTTAATAGTTTTATTTTTTCTATTTTTTACCCTATAATTCCAAACATAAACCTTGCTACCTGACACATTTCCATCATGTTTAATCTCTTTACCTCTTCTCTACAACTGTACTACTGTTAGATTTACTAATTCAATAGAGCTATAACAATTACTTATTATATATTGTTAAAATTATAATATTAAACTTATATTATTTAAAAAAATTTCATTATTAAAAAGAGCCTTTTTATATGGTTTTGTGATATTTTCTTTCAATAGTTTAGCATGGTCTTTAAAGGAAAATTCATAAATATTGCTAGTTTTGGCCAACTGCCATTTTAGCGTGCAATTGTAAACTAAGTGAAATGGAGATCACAGAAAAACAAATAAAATTTATAAGTGCATTGCATCATTCTCTATAACATGACAAAACATATATAGGTTCAACAGAGGGAGTGTGGAAAATTAGATGGGTGAACCAAAAGCAATCGTTCAAAAATAAAAAACGTAAAAACACAACCACACTTTCAAAATACCTATAGGGTACAAAAGATAAGTTAAAAACAACACCAAATTTAACATGGTTCGTCATAAAAAGAACCCCTGTCTACAACAACATAAAAAATGCCTATTATATTTATACAAAAAACAAATAATGTTTTTGTATAAAAATCCCAACGAATTATCAAATAAAAAAAAGCAAACTAATATCCAAGTGTTGCCATGAGAACAAATTTTTGCTGGATAACCACAAACCAAAATGTTAAATCATAGTTAATAGACTTGAACTGGTTTGGAAACTCTGTAAAATTCATTGTTTAACTTATTGACACAAAAATAGAGCGTAAATCAAACGTGACCATGCACAAACAAACTTATTAAGGTTGTATAATGCTTATAACAATATCTGATTTTGGCATGAAGTTCATTAAATAAACTTTTGAAAATGAAAGTAAAATTTTTAGTATAGATTCTAAGCTATTTTTTAAAGATAGCAGTTTTAGAGATAATAAAATGATTAATGTATTGCGGATTGTGAGCATGAAACAAATACGTTTTCTGTTTTATTCGAGTATAAATTAGAAATTCATTTAGTTAGTTTACTCATTAAGATTAATGAGCAAATTAAATAACTGAATACTGTTTTATAAACTCGTTGGTAGTCTGGAGATGTACTTCAAGTCAGATTATATTTAAACAGGTGATTTACAAATATTTATGAAGAGAAAAGTACTTATTTTAGTTCATTGTATTCTACAAATATAAAATGCTTTACTATTGAGTATTACTACATAGTAACACAAGAGTTTGTTATATAACTGCAGTATAACAAACTGTGGTACTTCAAGACGAACAAAAGGTGTTGGAATATTTAAACTTCCTCATTCAAATTCTGCAGATCTTGCTCATCAAAAATGGCGATCTGAATGGTTAAATTCAATTACAAAAGGGCGTGTGATTGACCAACAATTTAAAATGCAAATCAATTCTGGGAAAGTCTTTGCTTGCGAAAAGCACTTTAAGCCAGATGATTTTGAAATATGTATATCACAAGTGTTTTTTTTAATTTATATATATATATATATATATATATATATATATATATATATATATATATATATATATATATATATATATATATATATATATATATATATATATATACCCTTATAGTGTAGTCGAAAGAGCGTTTTAATGTAAAAAAAGTCTCTTACGACTACAATTTTAATTACCTCGTCTCTTAAGCTGTTTTTGGTTGTCATCGAAATGTCAAAGCAATTAATTTATGCGGAAGTACATTAAATTTAATTGTTTTTTAAAAAAATTTTAAAAAACCGCAATTATAATGACTAGAAAGTTTTTTTTAATTAGTGGTGTTTTTGTTATTGATTTAATAAAAAACATTTTTAAAACATGCGTAAATGTTGCTACATCGACTATCTTATAGCCTGACTCGCAACTGAGTGCTGCTACATCGACTGACAAATAGCCTGACTCGCAACGGAGTGCTGCTACATCGACTGACAAATAGCCTGACTCGCAAGGGAGTGCTGCTACAACGACTGACCAGTAGCCTGACTCGCAAGAGAGTGCTGCTACATCGACTGAGGGTTTGGTTTGGCCAGGCAGTCTATCAATTAAAAAAAAAAATTTAATTTTTAAAACTTTTTCTGGTCTGGTTTATTAACGCGCTCTTTAAAACTACAGTTTATGGGAAACTTTTTTTGATGCTATGCAAGAGACATGCAAGAGTATATATATATATATATATATATATATATATATATATATATATATATATATATATATATATATATATATATATATATATATATATATATATATATATATATATATATATATATATAATATGATATATTTATTAACTAACTTTTTTCAAGACATTGGTGCAAAAATGACAAAAAAGATAATAAAAAATGGAGTTATCCCAAGTCTATTTCTTCCCATAAAAAGTTGTATCACTACTTTACCAAAAAAAAATGCCAAGGAAATCTATTGAACCTACAACTAAAATATCAACCAAATGTTATGATAAACTTAAAGACAGCATTTCAAATACGAAATTTGAAACTTTTGAATGGTTGGATAACAGATGTAAAAGAAAATGAAATAAGTGTTTTAAAAAGAAGTTCAAATCAGCTTGTTCTTCCAGAATTTGAAGTAATCATAGGTGATAGTTTAGGATATAGTTTGTCTGTATTTGTATTGTGGATGGATGCTTCCTGAAAGTCATACCATTTACAAAATTTACAAAAGAAGTATGCAAAATATTTCATTAAAAAATTTAATTACTTTACTTGAAAGTTATCAGTTATGTGATGGTGTACCAAATTATGAAAAGACATCAAGTACCATTCACCATTGTATACCTTTTAAAAACAACCCACATTATTGGGATACAGAAACATCTCCATTCCAATTTATGTCATATTACAGAAATATTAACTGTGACTTAAAGACTCAAGCAGATATAAAAAATGTATATTTACAAACAAATCAGTTGTTTATTTAAAAAAGAAAAAATTAAAGAGTCACAATGAGCCAGCCAAACTAAATGCCTCTATCTTTTTGACCTCACCATCAAGACTTAAATTAACAATTCAACAGCATCGTCTGAAATGTGCACAATTACATAATCATTTTCTTTCAATTATCTCTGATGCTAAACATAATTCTAGTGACTTTATGAATTTGTTTTGGCAAGAACAAAAAAAGTTGTTTAGAGTTTCCTCATCAGGAGTTAGATATCACCCAATGATAATAAGGTACTGTTTATCCATCACATCAAAATTACCTTCTGCATACCAAGAAATTAGAAATAGAAAAATACTTGTATTGCCAAGCCTGAGAACACTCAAAGATTATAAAAATTATATTCCACCGAAAGTTGGGTATCAGGATAGCATTGTTGAGAAATTAAGTGCGGTAGTGGTGTAGTGGTAAGAGCGCTTGCTTTGTAAGCGAGAGGTTCGGAGTTCGACTCCCACCATGTCCCTGGAAGTACCGCGCTCAACTTAATTTCTCTGCGCAGCAGCCTTGCTTGTTAAGTTTCGTGTTTCGGAGTTAAAGAGTTGAGAGAGGGTTGTACCACAATTTACAACAAAAAAAAAATGAGTAGCCTCCTCGACTGTAGTGGTCCCCTCGGGCCTTGGGGAGGTGAATAATTAATAAAAAAAAAGTAATAATAAAAAAAAAAAGTAGACAAACAAAACATTATACAAATATTGAAAGATATTTTGTGCTTCTTGTTAATGAGATGTCAATCAAATCTAATCTGGTTTTTGATAAGAAAAGTAATCAGCTGATTGGGTTTGTTAATTTGGGAGACCCAGACTTAAAATTTTGCTACACTACAAAAATGTGAACTTTCCTCTCATGCCCTTGTTTTCATGGTTCGTGGTAACACCTCTTAAGTTTTCGCTTGCATATTTTACTACCATCACTGCGACAACAGTACAGTTATTTAGTTTATTATGGGATTCAGTTTGCATTTTAGAGAAGAGATGTAATCTTTATTTAGTTTCTGTTGTAGCTGATGGCGCATCATCAAATAGAACAATGATTAAACTACACTGTTACATGTGTGGAGATATGATTACTCCTGTAATTTTTAAAACAATAAATTTATATGCCAAATCTAGATACTTCTATTTTGTTGCTGACCCACCACACTTGATTGAAACTTCCCAAAACTGTTTATTAAATTCTGGTGCCGGAAAATGTACGCACTACTTTTGGAATGACGGGAAGTATTTATTGTGGCAGCATATAACTCAGTTGTATTATGAAGATTTAGACAATGGTTTAAAACTTTAACCTAAATTAACTAATGAGCATATTCAAATAAATTCTTACTCTGCTATGACTGTCAAACTAGCTGCTCAAATTTTAAGTCCAACTGTATCGTCTGTCTTGAAAACATTTGGAACAGAAGAACATACAGAGACAGCTCGGTTTTGTTTTTTGTTTTATGTTTTTTGACTGTCTTAATCTAGAACAATTGAAGAACATAGAATGAAACCTTTCCTTAAAAAATTCACTGACCAAAAGGATCATCAGTTTAATTTCCTTTTAAATGATTTTTTGGAATACTTTAAAATTGGAAAAAATCTATTGATGAAAGAGTAGACAAAGCAGGTTGTCAATACTCTTATGAGGCTAAAGCGAAAATGTTTATTTCGCATCAGACACATGAAGGCTTAATGATGACATGTAATTCAATAGTAGAAGTTATAAAGTTTCTGCTAAGTGAGGGTATGCCTTATATACTTACAAGTAGATTTTGCCAAGATCCAGTTAAGGAATATTTTAGTGCTCAAAGGAAAATTGGG